TTCCACTAAACTACCTATCTAGGTACAATACCCAGCCAGACCAGCCCAGCCCAGCCGGACCGGGGTTGCATATTTTTTTTTTTTCCTTTCCTTTTTTAGGGGTGTACTGGCCGCATACATATACATATATACCTACATAGGTTAGGTATCCTACCTCTTACAGACATATTTTCATCACTGTGCGTATCTTTGAACCCGTACCGGTATGTGCCTAGGTGCTCAGGTGTAATGCTGTTGCATTTTCCCATCCATTTTCACCATTTGGTTCATCTCTTGTCCATCTCTACCTGTCCTGCCCGTCCCATCTTACATGTACATACCTACCTCCTACATGTAATATACCCCTCTTTTTTGGCCCCCTAATAACCTGCTGTTCTGTACTTAGTCCCCGTTTATCTTTTTTTCCTTTTACATCCTCTCACGGCCCACGGGTGTACCGAAGAATCGCTGCGTCTGATCCCTTTCCCTGGTTCGTCGCTCCAAGCAAGGAAAGGGGGCCAGCCGCGCTTTTATTTTCGTCATCCCCGTCCCCCGTCCCCCGACTTTAACCAACGCGGCTCTTTTTGATCTGATTGTTTCTTAAGCGGCTACCTACATACATATCTACATACATATATACCTCGACCTAACTAAGGTATCCGCTTGGATCCGCTTGACTTTATCTTCCGTCAACACGCCAACGCCAACGCCAACGCCAACGGGCCAACATCCAGAAGCAATACATAAAACATTTTCCATCCGCCGCTTGGATGACGATACCTTCACCACTACACACCAGCTAAACCCCATCCCGGCCGCTGCTTTGTTGTTTGTCGCTTTAGTGATAGACACGAGCTGACGGGCTGCCGGATTTTGCTCTGTTGATCAATTCCCCGACCTCGGCGCCTCTGATGCGCTTTTCATGAAATCCGGAGCTTGAGGCTAGCTTTGGAGCTTAAGCTGAAGCTGTGGCCAAAATTCGAAAAACATGCCTCCTCCGAGACAAGGCCGTTATCAACCTGCGTTCGTCTCCCCTGTCGCCTCGGATTCTTGATCTATTCATTTTATTATGGTCTAAGTAACTAACGTTCCAATTCTGCGAGCAGCCGGGAATTTCACGTTGTTGTGCTAGGTGCAGGTAAGGCGATTTTTATTGTTACTATTAACCTATTCCTCTCATCAACCCAGCTGAGGTGTAGGATCAAGCTTTTCTTTTTCTTTTTCTAGGTTTACTCCATGTTGAAACTTTTTTTTTCTTTGCTTATGCGTAACCGCCGCTAACTTCTGCTAGGCGGTGTCGGGAAGAGTTGTCTTACAGGTAATCATCCCTCCTAGTTGCAATTGATTCCGATTGGACCATCTTGGATTGAAACGAAACGCGATCTATTTACGCCTCGTGCGTCATTCTCTGCGCTAAGAGCCTAATTGCTAATGGGCTTTTTTTTTTTTTATGATAGCTCAATTTGTCCACAACGAATGGATTGAGAGTTATGACCCGACCATTGAAGACTCGTATCGAACCCAGGTGGCCGTCGATGTAAGTGTAACTCTACTCATTATCTCTAACCCGTTGGTTTGGGCGTAAACGTCTGCTGACATATTCGGACCAGGGTCGTCAAGTAGTTCTGGAGATGTAAGACAATGCCAACTACAAACATGACCCACCATTATTTTCTTGCTGCCGTTCTGGCACATACTAACTAGAGATAGTCTGGATACTGCAGGCACTGAACAGTTTGGTTAGTCATATTACTAAATTCACCATTTATTCGTAACTACCTAATACTAACTCAGTTCCAGTTGCTATGCGGGATCTGTACATGAAGACTGGTCAAGGGTTTTTACTAGTCTACAGTATCACTTCAAGTTCGTCGTTAACTGAGCTGGCGGGGCTTCGTGATGAGATCATCCGTATCAAAGACGACGAGAACGTGCCAATTGTTATCTGTGGAAACAAGGCCGATCTAGAAGACCAGCGGTCCGTGCCACGCACCAAAGGCTTCCAAATCTCGGAGAGATGGGGTGCGCCATACTATGAAGCTAGTGCTCGGACGAAGAGTAAGTGCATTTACCCACAGTTCTTCCCCATGCATTCGCTCCTACCCATACTTGAAGTTCCATGGTCATAGGATGGCCAGACTAATACTTCAAAGCAAACGTTGACGAAGTATTCATCGATCTATGTCGACAAATGCTACGAAAGTATGATGCCGCGGAGCCCAACGTCGAGGATCAAGACGACAAGTTCGATCCGTACTCTATATCCTACTATAAAAGGCGAAGGCGGAGAAAAGACGGGGAGCGAGGTTCAAATCATCGACCTAAATGTGTTATTCTATAATTTCTCTAGTAGCTTTCACTCAAGAGCTTATGAGGAATGTGGGTGAAAGTTTGCACAAGGATTCAGTTTCACGGGACGTGCGACTCCTAGACGTCAAAACGCCTTTTCGGGTTATAGAATAGCTACTGGTTTAGGTGCGAATACTCTACACTATGGAAATTCAGGCGCTTGTAACGGTTCCTCGAAACGAGGACGACAAGGCTCTAATAGGGTTGAGACAAGCTTTCCAGAGAGGCTTCTCGGTTTCATATTTTGCTAATATTTTGCTACGCTTCTTCGGACCGACATTTGATGGGGTTTCGCTTCGACGATTCCTGCGGCGAAGATCCTTTCGCATTCTGGAGCGAATGTTCAGGGTTATGGGCGGGCTTGCATGTTCATCGTATTGCATGGGGAGGGCATAGTATGCATACATCACGGATCAGCAGACGAACGACAGCGTTCTAATCTCGGACATGGGGCCTACATACATATGTAGGCTCCCCGAGTTATCATGCCGACCGTTTATTTTCTGCTTTCGGGACATTTGGGTTTCGATGTGGAGCTTTTATCTTGTGTTTTGTTTTCTTGTTGAAGATCCGGACTGCGCAGGCAACCTACATACTTGAGAATCCATTTATGATACTACGGCACCTACACTTACTTACCTTACTTGTCACAGAGAAATAGGCATTTCCACCCCAGAATATATATACCCACTCTGGCGCCGGAATACTCGATACCCCTCTTTTGAATTAGGAAGTGATTGGAGTAATGTGATTATTTATGTGATTTACGGAATATATGCTAGCTACTTAGGTAGCTTAGGGATTTGGACTCGGGGATTAAGACGGCATCGCTCGGCAGTTGACCGACTTGTTGGAAGGAAGTCTTGGGATACCTTGGCCTAGACGATCTCGACTCGTATAACGGGTTGAGCTTGTACGAAAATAGATCGAGGTAACGTCCGAGGGTCCAAGGTAGATCTCATCGCTTGGACCACCTGACTCGTGCTCATCACACCTAGGTGGGCGATTTCGGCTCACCTAGTGTAGATAGAGCCACAGCTGTCGAAACCACGGAATACGCTAACTAACTACTCTACATACATATGTATATCTCTTTGGCCCCCGCCCTGCAGTACTAGATCAACATGCACAGGTGGAGCCATCTACCTATTTGTATGTATGCATCGTATGGTGGGCACGCTTTCCGTGTCGAAAGAAGCAAATAGCGGCCGGAATAGGAAAGGCAGTCGTCCGGAAGAGGTTGGGCGGCGGGGTGGGGGGATGCAATCCACGGCCAAGTTTGGGTCCGCTAGCACCAATGTGGGCGGGTGAGGCTTAAGACTACCTATGTAGTTGTATGTACTGTGCATACATACATACATAGAAGGGCACATGCGCGTCGCTTGGAATGTGCGAAGTCGACTGACCGACCGGCTCGAATGGTCTTAATCTGTTCTTGTTGTACTGGGGTGCTGGCTCTTTTGCGCATACATACTGTGTCTGCGACTGGAGGAGGGATGGGATGGGATGGGATGGGAGAGATGGTTCGTCGTCCGAGGGCGGGCTCCGCTGACCCGGTTCGGCTGGATCTAGCTGTATACATACGTGTGTATGCGTTTATGTATATATGTATATGCGCGGCTAGATGTCACGAGGCTGGCTGGCTGGCTGGCTAGGTTAGTTGTTTTCTTGGGCTGCGGGTATAGTGTATATGTGGATGTAGGTTACGCATGGTGAAGAGAGGGGTTATATTTACGACATCCCTCGCTTAGGTTATCGTCTAACGCCCGTCTAGCATGAATGCTTGTAATGTGTTCATCTGGCGCCGATGCCTAACGATGCTGTGTCTTGGTCTTAATTATATATGTGGACAGAGAGAGTGATCCTGATTCCTGTGTGTGACATATATTTATTTAGGTGTGTAACTAGACGATAGGATCATGGATCATGGGTTATAGATTCGTATAATTGATTGTTAGAGGCACGACGGTCAGCGCGTCCCAAATGGCTAGAATACTGACATATCAGGAAAACGGAAGAGTAACGGCGGCCTCGAAGATTAATATATATATGGGATGTTTTCCATCCGTCTACGCTCTTTGTCCAATCTATGAGTTACTGAAATCTTGTCTGTTACTTTCTAATAGAATATGGTATCACGTATATCGATATTGCGGAAGCTAAAACATACCTAAGACGTAGGTAGACTAACGTAAACATACCTACCTACCCACCTAAGGTACTTACACCACATGCTTTACGGTCCACGATTCGACATCCCGCTTCCGAGAACCGGATACCGAGAATGAGACTGTAGTAGCCACTAGTTATCCCAAGATCAGTTTGAGAAGTGCCGAAGTAGCATCAAACTATTAGCGCCTGACGCTAAATTATCAATAGTCTCTTGCCATCGACTAGTGCTCCCACGTGGATGGATATAGTACCGAGGTGGGTAGGTTAGCTATGTAATAGCAAATCTTGACATTACCCACCAACCTGGCTGCTGGAGACGAACACCTTGATGGGATTCGGAGTAACATCGTCTACTATTAACTAGTCCAACCAGGCTAATTACCATAGCATCGTGCCCCATATGGCGCCATTGGGTAGTTAAACTAGATATCTTTTCTCGCATAGTTATTCGAGCTGTCAAGACTGACTCTTTAACTGCGTAAAGGACCATCCCATGTTAACTCAACTATCAGCCCATAACCTCTCAGTGTGGCCTTCGGTTCTGATAAGTAATACCTAGGTAGGTAGTGAAGTTAGGATGCTGTAAGCTCTGCAATATTCTAGCTTGAAATTCATGGTAGTTAGTTTAGAACGAGACAGCTTCTTAATAAACACTAGTTAGATTGATAACTAGCGAGGAGGGTATTATCTATCTTCGCGTCCTTTCTCTGGTTATTAAACTTTTCCAAGTGTTAGATAGTTAACCGAGTCTAGCAGACGCTATATCGAGCAAACCAGTATGAGGGTAATATTTGCGTAGAGTAACTTCTCATCCGTATATAAAGCTTATGCTAAGGCTGACTGACATCCGCCCGAAACCGAACTTTTACGTATGGAGTGCGAACTTCCGATACAGTAAAGTTATTTACTGGTGTCGCTACGTCGTTCAAGCCGTAGGGTAGTATTCACAGAGTCGTGGCCCGATCTTGCCGATAAAATCGAAAAGGAGCACTGGAACTAACTAGCCCTTTAAGAGCCAGCAGATTTAACTTCCATATATCGCTGTAAGGTTTTTTTCTGGAGGGCCCGTTGCTCGTTAATAACCTCCCACAACTCTTCGTTTTCCTTCCTCAGTTCTTGATCTCCAACAGTGTCCTCAGCTGGTGTCTGGAAGGCGAGGATGGCTTGTTCCAAGACATCATGCGGGAGCCCGTTAGATTTAAGTATCCTACTGAACTTCGTATCCTCTGAGATATCGGAATCTAACTGGGAGGTAAAGTTATAACTGCGGCTTCCCAGGAATGGCTTCACAACAGCAACTGGCTTGGCAGGCCGCGAGGTCGGAAGTGGAGAAACAAAGACGATATTCGTTACAGAAGCGTTGAGGTTTGTTAGCTCTGTGGAGTCAGCACGGCTGCTCAAGTCCCATCGTAGAATCTGGCCTTGCGGGTGGCCCGATAATAAAGTCGTACCATCGTAGCTCAACGCCATGCACGATGCCGCTCCCGCCTCCTGAGGCGTAGCGCCAAACGCCGAGGAAACCTGAACGGCCGTAGAGCTGTCTTCTATACTCGTCGGACCCAACAGAGCTTTATCGGCAAATAAGTCAACTGCGTACAGCGAGCCGTCATCGGAAGAAACGTAGATGGCTCGTGTACACGGATCGAGGGACACGCAAAGTGGCGAACTCGGGAATAGTAATGTCCGTAGAGCTACACCCTGCTGATAGTTCCAGATGACACAAGACTTGTCCTTGCTTGCCGAGACGCAGATGTTGGTATCCGGATTTACGCTTGAACCGATAGCAAGAGATGTGATGGCGGCTCTATGATTCGATAGTGTCACTTGGGGTTCGTGTTCGATGGTCGAGTCTAGTTCTAGCAAGCGGGGAACAGACCAGACATTGATATTCGAGTCCTCGGACCCGGTGAGAAGGTGGTAGGGTGTAACAGCGATACACGTAATCGCTTGAACATGGCAAGCAGACGTAGTCACTTGTCTACCGGTGCAGACCTCCCATATGATAAGCCTGCCCTCTTGCGAACCCAAATAGAGCACATCATCTTGGAGCGCGATGCTCCGGATGCGCTCTGGAAAAGTAACCAAGGCCTCTTGATTGCCTTTGGCCCTCGAGTAGACGTGTACCGTTGATTTCTCCTCCTGGGCTGTAAATACATGGGTGTCGCTCACAGCCAGACAGTGGCGGGGAGCAGAGCTTTTCTTAAAGGTATTTGTCGTCGAATGGCTGGGGTGGAGTGTATGCTCATAAATGCCGGCATCTTTTGAGATGGTCGTATTGTTAGATAATGGTTGCCCAGCCACGGACACGAAGTAAGTTTCGGTCAACATTGGCCCCTATTCATCTGGATTCGTGATGATCTTGGAGGTAGATTTGTAATTTATTTATTATCTCCTAAACAAAATATCCTCTAGTTACTAGTACGCAAGTAGCTATGTAGCTAGCTAGCTACCTCGGATATTTTTAGGATTGGTCCGATCACGTATGTAGATGTAGATCCCGTGATATTATACTTGTCCGAATATGGTGTAAATGACCGGCTGTTGTACGTCTTGATAGCTATTTGATGTTTGATGTTTGATGTTTGAAGTTGGATGATGTTAGTGTAACTATTTTTTTCTTCTTTTCCTTTTCCCCCACAAATTTCCAATCCATTGGTGATGGTTCATCGTTAATAGCCCCCACCAACATGCAGACGTTTATGCAGGTCGTTTGTGGCTGTCGGTGGGGCCGGCAATGCGGCGTCAGCCTCAGATCTTGGCGTAATGGAAGGGTACGTGCCTTTTTCTATGTATTGTCCAAGTTTAAAATCTAGAATCTGGAGCATTTCACATTCCACATTTCACATTTTACATTTCACGTGTCTAACAAGCTTTAGGTATCTGGGTAAAACATCCACTGCTTTCCATTCGATAATTTAGGGTCAATACTGCAAGTCTCACATAATCTGGGTAAGGTAATTCATCCACGTTTTCGTCTTGTTATCCTATTACGACTTAGCCTTCAAATAGCCTCCGGACTATACATAGTATCCATTGTATCCTGTTCCGGATTTTCCCCTCTTTGCTTCTTTTGTCCGTAACTTCATGCACGATGTGCAGCATGACCGAATGGATCATTGCATTAGGTAAGTTAGGCCCTTGAGAAGCGATGTGGTCTTGTACATGAACAACGGGAGGGTTTTATCGGCGGCTACCTACGTGCATCTTCTCCAATCGATTCCATCTTTTTGCCCGATAATGGTTCATCTTGTTGTTATCTACCCGTTCGTCTATATTTTCGACAAGGGCTTTGTTCGTCGGAGGCGGTAATCCCTTGGCTACTATGCGGATAGCCAAGGCGAGCCAAACCAAATCCTGCAACTGACGATACATAGTGCTGCAACATGTCTGAGTTTATCCCATGACTGACCAATCCCATTTCGAAGTTTCCCTCAGCTTCGAGAATTAGGTGGGACCTCAATCCTCCGTAGGCGTTCTGCATATGGATGGGGTAGAAGCAGCTTCACAGACAACGTGGTCGCCCATCTGTCGTGTCGCTTGCCAGCTGCAACGAGATCGGGTATCATCATTCGACCGAATAGATTTCTTGTTCTAGATGCAGGGGATAGTCATTCGAGGAAAGATAAAACCAGTTATTTACCTAGGTAGATACCTAGCTGCCAGGTAGGTAAGTACTACTTACTATAAGTAGGTAGTATTATTATTACCCCGTGCCAAGTTTACTGACGGATCAGCTACCTGTTAGACACAAGCTGCACAAGCCTATTAGACAACAACGTAGTACACGTATACTGGGGTACGGAGGAGGCATTGCTCTGGCCTCGGAACTTTCTTCGATCAATCTTTTCCTCCATCTGACAACCGAATAGCTAATCTTGCGCCATGCCATGATCATCTTCCTCCAACCAAGGGTCCAAGTCTGCTCGGCAAACCATGCTGCCCATGAGCTGCCACGGCCCATGGCTCGTCAGAAAACCCTCCGCATTAGGGAAAATAAAAATGTGGTGAGATGCGGTCACGTACGAAGTAATCGATTGGTTAGTTAGACACGAACAATTTCCAGAAACGATAGCAGCGTTACATCGTATTAACTTGGCGAATGGATTTCTGGACCTCTCAATTAAATTGACTGATTGGTTCCTGTCAGGACGCTATTGTGGTCAAATACTACCCTAGAAAGCGATCCCTTGGCGAGAAGATCGGACGGTCTGACGGTCAAGTCTCGGTCTCGAAACTCCCCTTCAAGTTTTCAGCGTGTAAGAAAAAGTAAGGGTTTAGACTTTTTGTAACTAGGATATGTAGGAATGTCTTAGGTGAGATGTTTATTATATCTTATTATATCTGATTTGATGTAACTCGGGGTATGGCTATTTGTGTAAGTTATCGCGAAATTGGCATCGTGAGAAAAGGAATTTGGAAATGTTTCTTTTCTTTTCTCTTTTCTCTTTTCTTATTTTTTATTAGTTATCGTTATCGTTTAAAGGTACCTACATACATAATTGTTAGGATGAACCTTGCTTAAGATGATGATCTCAGGTCCCACAATACTTCGTAGTTTCCGTTCTCCTTTAGGTTCTGCGACCCCTTCTGCGACCTTTTACTTTCTCAAAAAAGACCCCTGGCTCGTCCTTGTCCTTGTCCTTGTCCGGGGTCCATGGTTCATAGTTCATGGATTATTCATCTCTGTCGAATTACGAAAACCAAACCCAAGTATGTCCACCGCTCAACCCTTCTCTGCGTCTTTACTCTGCGTCTTCAAATCCAGACCATCCATCTGGATTTCCAACCCAGCTTGAGCCTTTTTCGCAGGACTGTTTTTGTTGATTTCCAGCTCCTTCGGATTTGTTGTTTAAACAATCCTGTTTACTTTCGCAACTCTACTAACTAACAAATAAACAAATGAAGCATAATATAGTTATCAACTAACTAGATACCTGTTACTACGAATTAAAACTACGAATTAAAACTAGTCGGAGTTGGGAAATCAACTGTCTTTCAATACTTATTGTTTCGTATCAAAAGAAACTCCTAACCTCGGATTTCATTGCCGGCTGACAATCCCCCATCCCCCTGCAACGCCACCGACCGATTAATACCGATTAACTTGGACGCACGAACGAACGTCACGATGGGGAGCTTTGAACCCTTCGAACCCCTCATGGACTTCAATCTGCCGGAACTTCTGGTTGGGGATTTGGAAGAATCGAAAGAGATTTTCAAGTCGAGGCAATTGACTGCTGGTGCGCCAGCTCCATCATTAGCTGGTGACGGATCTAAAAGACGATATTCGCTACAGGATAGTTCGTTAAGCGCTGTTCATTCATCTATTCACCCATCTAATCTCCTAGACACAACGTGGAAGGCCAAGTCATTGCAGAATGTGAATGAGACGCAATCTCATTTCTTCACCGTCCGCGACCGCGACCGCGACGAATCACGCCGGAATAGTAGCGATTCCGATTCAGCCAGTAGTGAATCATCTGGTGGACTGATGCCCCCATCAATCGGCACACGGGGCGCATCCATCGCCACAACAGCCACGTCGGTTACTTCTGAGAAGCTGGAGCCACCAAATCACTTGAAATTAAAACTTGTAATACAAGAGAAAAAACAAGCCGGTAACAGCTGGATGGACTTGGATGCCGAGGATCCAACTTCTCCGAATCGAAGATACAGTATGATTAACATCTCGTCACCTGCTCAGTACTTGTCACTACGACATGATCTAGATGAATCAACGAGCATGTCTTTAAACTCGGCAGTGCTGCATCCCAACTTAACTAGCTCTCCTCCAACTTCGCCAAAAGTCTCATCGAAATCGTCCCCAAAAGCAACACCAAAAGCATCACCAAAAGCATCCCCGAAAATGTCGCCAGCCAGTGTCAAATCTTCGGGTACTGGCGAACAACGAAACCGCGTTAGATCGCCTTTGGCATGTCCTACTCCTCCACCAGAACGACGCTCTTCTCTGATGCACCGGAATTACCCCGTGCTTCCCAAGATTAACGTGTCGCCTTCTCTACAAGCTTTGTCGAGTCAGCCTTTGCCAACACAGCGTGAAGACGAAACATCGTCCCCAGATCGCAATATGCCCTTATTAGCCCCACTCCAACCGTCTCGTAACAAGACGAATGATGTTAGGAATGATGTTAGCAGTGGGCGTAATGCCAGTAAGACCAGCTTGCACCTGCCAGAGGCGGATATCGAAACGGATGAACCTGAACGACACTCTCACGCAGAGAATGCTGAATATCTAGAAATTGCCGCAGCAGGGATAGATGTTGAATCCTGGTTGGAGTCCAGCGTTGACAACTTTCCCTACTATGCTCAGAATAGGGCTGATGGGCACATGCCCCTACCTCTCCCGCCGGATGTTCTTGATACCCTTCGAATATCAATAACATGCTTCCCGGAAACGATGCTCCAGTGCTCTAGCCTCTCGATCGAGACCATACGTGGCCACTCTAGGAAATTGAGGTATAAGTCATCTAGTCCTGCAAGTTTATATTCGGAATCGCCCGCTTCGGTAGACTCGTCGGACCAGTCAAAACAGACGAAATGGAAGTGGTTACCCCTTAAGAGACAGCAGTCATCTCCTGCCGAGACGCCAACCAGCCCGCAACGAAGTGGTTTTGGAGAGAGCCTAGAACCAAGATATAGCCCGGTATGGCCTAGAAAACCGGACTGGACCACAATCCAGAACCTCTTCCCCTCCGGATCTGATTATCTCTGTGACGCTCTCTACGCCCACCTCGTAGCGTACAACTACATCACTTCGCTATGTCCCCGATCAGTGCTTATCAATCCTACTACTACTTCGAGACCTACTTCCAAATCCTCAACAACACCCTCAGAAATCAGTCTCGGCCTTTCGGTTGACCTCCGTGCTTCAGTAGACATACGCGCCTCTACGGACGGAGGCGCAATCCCACGAAAAGCAGCAACCTTGCTCGGCCTGCAAGATGATCCGAACGCACCGATCCCCGAACCGCCTTCCTCACGATGCAACACACTTCGCAACAAGCGATCGTTCTTTGCAGCGCCCAGAGCCGTCTCTTACTATGAAGTCAGTCGACCGACGACAGCCGTAGGTTCCTTCACTAGCCGCCGTCTTCCCCAACCCGACCAGGGCGAGCAAGTATTAAAGGATTTGCGGTTGGGACTGGCGAGATGCATCTCAAGACTCGTCGCTACGTTACGAGTGACGAACGGTAGCCCCGCGGGTCCTGATGGCGCGGGGCAAATGAAGCAGGAAGAAAATCCCGACTTCATGCGGGCACTGTGCGAGATCGTGCGCCTCTCTGAGGAGAGATACATGTAGCCGAATGAATACGGCTGTAGCGTCACGAGCCATCTGATTAATCAACTATATCTATACCCACATATAATGGACCATGCAGGAAAGATACTCTCACGAAAATTATATATACCTTAATACCCACGAAGCGAGGACACGAGAAACGGCCTTTTAACACTGGTGGTTTGCATATTCTTAAACCACACACTGCCGCAAGCAGTATTTTACTCTCCATCAAGGGATGATTCTCATTTATCTACTTAATGTACTTGTACACTTTCCGCCGTATCATCTTACTAGGCAAAAGCCACTACTCCTATATGTATTATAATGTGCTACCCTTTGGTTTCTATTGCTAATTATAGAAGGGAGCTAAGATGACGGACAAAATCAAGTTGAGTTTGCCTCCGAGGTGGATGAGGCCAGAAAGTAATAATCCGAGGTATTAAGACGATACCTTTACAGAGCGGGTGCGGGGAGCATGCCTTTTTACACGGGAATATAGCTCGGGGAGGGAGTGAGGGGGCATATTGATAGATTCCCGTACCTCTCATCTATTAACCGGCGTACTGGGATCGGAAAAGGGGAGTCAATGACTGGAGTTGTGGAGTTGACGAATACACTAGGTATGGTCTTTGGAGGTTAGGTGCATATCATATGAGGTCAAGGGAATCGGTAACTGGTTCATTTGTGTGATGAATAATTAATTAATTATTATTATTACTACATACATACACCATGTTCCATTCTAGATGTTGTTATTATCGTTCTTTCGATATCTGATGGATTCCACGGGAACGGGAACGTACGGAGAGTAATAAATGAGAGAGATTTAAAATGAGGCTTAGATCGGAATTGCGTCTTCAACGTCGTCTTTTAGATGTATGTACCCTAGGTACGTACATACATATGCACCTACCAGGTATTATATAATTGATTAATTCCGACCCTGGTCGATAGCAGTTGGCATGCGTTTTCGGGCTATTCTAGACCTCAGGCTGTTATACATTATTAGCGCCATACCGGCATTCTGGACGAGCCCTGCGGGGTGGCCTACGCGAACTCACGCACTAAAAGCTGCTAAAGCTACCGTGTTTAACCACGCTAGAACGCGTCTAGCTCCTAGTCACTTGGATACCTATGGTCTAAGCCCCTCGGAACACGGAGCAAAGGGGTTATATCTCTCTCCGTCACCATTACTTCACTTCATTGGAACTCTTGTATATATGTAAATACCACACTGCTAACCTAATATCACACGTAACGGAGCATTGAGTCGTTTGGGCAGTGCAATATGAGACTGCAGAGGTGTTGGTGAAACGTGTCACGGGAATTTCCCTTTCGCTGCCCATGCACCACCCCCCTGGTTATATGACGATAACTACCTAACCTATATATGTACCTACCTAGGATACCCCTACTTTGCCTGCATGCAGTAAAGTATGTAGGTACATAGCACGAAGCAATTAAAATGACGGTTCAATATTATAGGTAGTTGACATATACAATACTACTATAAAATACTACTATGTAATCAAGAGCACACCTTGCTAGTACCACTGCCAGATTCCCACATGGTAAAGGAGACTAGATTACAATACGTATGCAAACCCATCTCCCATTATGCAATGCTCATATTCAAAATACAACGTGCCTCGCCGCGTGCCTTGCAACGATATTATTCCAATCATATGCCTAGTAATAGTCTATGTTTCCCGACATAACTACCAAAATACCAGCAAGTAGTCTAACCTACCTACCTACCTACCTAGATAGGTGAACAATTATACATCACCTGTAATCCGTCGTATCGTCAAAAGGATACCTATCCCTCACCACACCGCCGACCTGTCCCTTCTCCGCGAAATCGTCCATCCCCGTAAACCCACTCGACGACCTCGTCGTCGTAGGCGGCCAGAAGAAGCTGCCGCCCTTACTATCCGAGTCGCTAGGCGGATACGGCGTAGCGACAGACTTACCAGGGCCTTGAGGTAGATTATCAACCGTAGGCGTAGCCAGACGCCCGTGCATGCGAAACGTTTTCGCGTGTGCGTTACTCAGTCCTAGTAACCCGGCCGTGATGAGCAGCAGCAGCATGAAGATGATGGAACCGACCTGCGTCATGTTGCCGCTGAAAGCGGCCACCACGTACACGATCAGCTTGGCAGCCGCCTCGAGGTAGCCGTCTAGATGTGTCTTGGCACGCAGCCACGACGTCGTGGTGATGGCCTGCAAGTCCTCCGCCACGCCACGCAGGCACACAGATCGGCCTTGCCCCAGGTCTACCAGGTACTCCGTCAACAAGCTACTCACGTCGGGCTTTGGCGGTGGGGCTACGGGAGGCTTTGACCGCTGCTTGATAACCCAAATATTCAGGACGCGGGATAGCATAAGTGCGAGGAGGGATGCCACGCCCCACCATTCCCGGAGCAGGATCATGAACACGAATGCAGTTACGGTAAGCGCGGGGCTCATGAGGTATAATACGTGCGAGACCCAACCTAGGTCGGCGCCTTGGTCCTGCCATATGGTAGCTCGCTGGCCACGAGCCTGCCGCCGACCACCTGGGAAATAGTAGTTACGCTCGGGCATCATGCCCACGTCCACGGTGACCCTTTGCCCGGCCATACCCACACGTTCTAGGTAGCGCTGGGTAGCGGTATTGGTGATATTGTGCGTCGACGTCTGGCCCTCATATAGCTCAACTGCGCTGTACGACTCTGTACTACCGGCGAGCGCGTCGGCGGCCTGCTGATAGTGCAGGCCGGGAGCAAGGAGCAAGGCATCGAGCCACGACGCCCCTCCTACGATCTGCGTGCGCCTAGCGATGGTTCCGAGGTCCGCAAGTGCGATGAGACCCGATGCCGAGAGCGTGAAACCCGGGATGGGGGTTTGAGTCCAGTTCGGAAACGAAGCCTCACGCTTCAATATAGTCTGATTATGTCGTTAATATATTGTCTACGTAACGGTTTGCTTGGAGTGCATCTTTTAACGTACCTCCATTTATAACCGTCTTCCAAGCTATCTGTAGCGTGGGTACCCTTTTAGCCCGTATTAACTAGACCGAATTCACTCACGACAGGCTTACTATAGTAAGCTAGCTAGCTAGCTAGCTAGAAGGTTGAAATTCGATCTTAGAAAAGAAGGCACTAAAATGGGGTCAAGAAGTCAAGAGGTCCGTAGAACGAACCTCAGCCCTTGCCTGGGGAATTCCACCTTTTCATAGTCATCGTATCATAGCCACCAAAATTCAGCAAGAGGGTTGTAACGCGTGCAAGGCTCTGAGCTACCCCTCGCTGATCAGTAGGGCTAGCTCGTTGTCGAAGCAACCATAAGCAAGTCGACATGTGAAGGATGGATCTAGGTAGATTGACCAATGGCGCTGCGGCGGTGAGATCACGGGTACGCAACCATCGTAGCGCAGGGAGATGATTACACCCTCCCGTTCGTAATAAGACACGGGTGGTATCGTCTTGGCGTTTTAATTGAGCAATTCGGCGGGCAGATACGTTTAGTTCTTAGACACACTTGGAACATATTGAGGGGGGATTGGGGGAGATTTTTGTCAAATCCGAGTGGAGGAACCGGTATATGTTTTTGTGACAGCTGACCTATAGGTACCTAGCCACTCATTTCATATACTGTGTACTTATCTTCTTCGTAAATAAGGTTGATTGAACTGCATAATTAGGTCATTCATGCATCCCCCAATCTTCATTAGGTAATGTCTGGGGTAAATATACATAATTAGGCACCGGAGCAAACCGGACCGGACAAAGGTACGCCCTATGTTATCGATAAAAGCTCCCGTCCTAATCCGATAAGCGTATAGATCCCCGTCTCTAATACGTCGGCTGTAGCTGATTGCCTCTCTACCTCTCTCTCTCTCAACGTCCATCTATCTCTTCTTCCTGATCATCAACTAGCACCGCTCAAGGGCTGCAGATCTCGCACGCGAATAGCCACTAGTTAGCATGACTTGACCCAAAATGGCGCCTACGCAGCCAGAGCCGACCTATACGGTTTTCGTTCGACTCCCGTTTCCTAGAGGTGACTTTGTCGATCCTCCGCCCGTACGTACCTAAATTTAATAGATTCCATCACATCTCATCCTTGCTGTTTGAAGCTAAATGACTAACACGTTCAGACAAATTGGGATTCGAGTAAAGATGAAGTCCTTTGGAGCATCGTATCTCGTCCTTATAAGACGGAAATAGACTGTAAGTAATGATTATTCTATTATTCCATCATCCCATAATACCTAAGTACCTAAGGTAACCAGCGATGGCACATAAAATAACTAATAACTATTCACCAGGGAATGATATGTAAGTGCTAATTTTCATCCCCAACATCGCTATCTTGCCAACCCATTTCAAAGCGCAAACCAATTCGGGGTAACGGTCGACTTCCTCCTCCAGCAGATTACCTGGCTCAGCAATCATCGTACTTCCCAAATTCAAACCCAGCTACGCAGGGCTGCTACAGCCTCTAAGGGTTCGGCACCGTCGCCTCAGCCCAGACCCGATGGCATGTTCTCGGCAGAACCTATGCGACGCACTGGGTCCGGTGATAGGTCGATTCGAGCACCATCAGCATTGTCGATCAGGAAGGACTCCCCTCTGCCGCGTAACGATGGCAGTGTCCCTGGTACGCCAATGAGAAGCACTCCACGACCAACCGTAACGCGCACGTCCTCGTCTAACACCGCCGTCCATGCAACTCGCAACCTAGTTAGCAGCGGCAAAGCCTCCGTAAAGTCTAACGTTGATCCCCAGCGCCGCCGTCTTTCATCCCTCCCCATCGCAACATCTGTCGATGACGATAACGATAATGAAAACCAGAACACCGAACCGGCTTCCCCAGGGCCAACTGAGTCCAGCGACGACTCTATATCTTCTTCATCCTCCTCAAGCCCCGCGCAGTCCAGAATCATCCGCCGGCCCCCACGGTTTCAAGGCAGCGATGTTGCACCCTCCTCCTTCGCGGATGACGAAGACGACGAAGACGATGATGGTGAACCGGCCTTCCTACCTTACCAGCCACAAGCAGACAGCAGCAGCGGCGCGCAACACGACCTCAGCGCCACGCTCCGCGGAAACCCCTCGCGCGACTACGTGAAGCGCCACGCTGCTGCGAAGGGGTCAACCCGTGTCCATCGCTCGCAAACCTCGGACTCGTCTAGCTCCACAGCGCCGTCCGCACTTAGCGGTAGTCGGACGGGAGCGGGTGGTGGCCCTATATCGCCGCGAAGGACAACGGAAACTGCAGGACGCAGCCCTGGCGCGAATGGTAGGGGGTACTCGAAGAATAGTGATAGCGGTACGCCAAGTATAGGGAGCAGTTTTAGTGATCTTGATGGTATGTATAGGCTGAGATTTTCTTTGTTCATTTCTAGTTGTGTCTCTGGATATATAATGCAGAGAAGAATATTAGAGGGATATAGGTTACGGGGACACGATGTAACTGTTGCTAACAAGCTTGTAGATACTTCGGTAACACAGTCGGCGATGGAGGAAGTGATCGCGAGCCAGATACAACATGGCACGATAAGTAGTCTTATCAACGCAACCTTCCGGAGCAGGTATCTCCCCGGTAACTCGAATCAGTGAGGTACGTTCAAGTATAACTGGGATTGGCGCCTAGGTACTTTTTTTTTCTGCGTTGTGTTTTTGCTTCTGGTAATTTTCATGGACGCTTCTTCGCTCAGGTAGTCGGTCAGGAACGGATCGGTTGGGCTAGGTTAGGGTTAATCCGGTTCGGTGAAACTGGACAAGGGCAGGCGGTATGATATGTACGGCGTTTAAGGGGTTTAATCTTGGTGAGGGCAGGTGTTTTGGAAGATTGGGCTAGATTGAACTTGAACTTGACTGGCTTGCGCCTAGGTATGTGAGGTACGCATACAATATCATTACGTATTTGCGTCAGAATAGATATTATTACAGTATTACACCCGGACTGGAAAGTAATCGATGATAGTTATACCTATGCTTGCCAAGGTTTCTCTTTAAACTACAGAGAAGGGATATCAATAGGTACTGCCAATGTGGCAAAATGGCCTTGACATGAGGGCCCAGCTAAGGCTTTAAACCAATACCCTGCATGACTAGTAGAGACGAGTCTTTCTAAACTAAGGTAGAATAAATAAGTCTAGTTATCCTAGAGTTACGTTATTGTTTTGCTTTCTATTGTTGCTTCGGGATAATGCTCTAGTCATGTTTTTTTTTTAAAAAAAAAAATAATATCCGTTACAAACCCAGGTCATATATGGGTTCTCTTGGGTTGATCTTGTGAGTCTCAAAGATGGATACTATAATTATGTCTACCTACCTACGCTATATAGTTATATTATGTGTATGTGGTCCTCTGATGTACCTACCTAGACGAATCTTCGGAATGGGGCTGATACACTTCAGTCATCCTGATGGCCGTAGGACGACGTATAGATAGCCCCTATTAGTTTTACAAGACTACCCCTAGTCCACTACATTATTCAGACCTGCCATGCACTCACTCACTACATACAAACTTTTAATCGAAACTCAAGTTGTCCATGTTTACCAGTTAGCAGTAGATAGAGAGTCACCATATCACAAAAAGCACGAGACGATCAGTATCACAAAAAAAGAAAGTTAGGAGCGTTTAAAGAATGCTAGCAATAAGTTATTTTCATTTTCAGTGGGCCAAAAAATAGTTATGGTGATGGAGCCAGACTTGTCGTATCAGACTATTAAACTAGGAAAGAAACGCAACTTCTAATCACACACAATTAAGCAACTAGGTTCATGACAACGCACGGCATTGGCGATTGTTCTCTTCATTAGGCCGTAATACAACGCGAAATTTAATGCAAAGTTCCTCCTGGGTGTCCACCTCAAACATTCCATCATTTTCTTTTATGTCGATCCTTTGCCGCAGGTGAATAAATGGGACAACTGTGAGCAATCCATACCACACATAGCTACCTAAGTAGACAAAAGCAATGCTGATGATGCCAAACTCCTGTACCTGCAACAACTGTACCTGCAACAACTAGGCCATCTCACTGATCTCACTCCAAAATCTGCCAAGATCCACTCGCTCGTGGGAAACAGAGTCATTCATCTGATTCTTCATGTATGCCGGCATCGAGAGGTATTGGCCAGGAAATGGCCACCATCTCACAAATGTAGACTGTTGATGCCGGGGCTAGGTTGTCGCATGAAGGGATGCTTAGAAACGGGATGCTATCTCGTGTTCCTCAACTACAGTAGAAGTTAGCATATTTCCAAGTATACCTGGTTATGAATGTATAAGAAGGCGCATGAGTGATAACATACCATGGCCACTGTTTCCCTGGCGGCTAATGGGAGTCCAATGGCTCCACTGGACCTCGTCGTTGCGGTTGGATGGCATCGGGATGGGCTGGTCGAAAGATGCGGGCGCCTCAGTCTTGACAGCGCCGAATCGGGCATCCTTAGGGGGAGGAACAGGTTCGATACCAGAGTGAGAACCGAAAGGCTGAGGGGAACCCTCCGAATGGGCCGTGTCAGGTCCGGAATGAAGAGCGCTAGCGCCCTTAGCAAAGCGGTTCTTGCGGGCTCGCCAGATGAAGACTCCAACGACGGTGAGAAGAACAAGGCCACAAACGCCAGTGATGACGCCGATCTCGAGGCCAGTAGGCTGGTAATGCGTGCCGCTGTTGCCTAGGTCAGAAGGCGGGGCTCCGCCATCAAGGGGAGATCCGGCGTCATAGTGGTCGTCAGAGTTGGGAACAGGCGACATTGTGATGCAGATTGGAAGATGACAAATTCAATGGTAGTTCTGGGAAAGGTGATCGGCACGCTGACTAGGTTATTAGTCAAGCCGTCTATGGGGGACGAGATAGATAGATGTCTGTTTGACGTGGTAGAATTGAACGTCGGTCAAACAAAACAGAAAGGGGAGGACGGTGTTGGTGTTGGGTGTTGGGTGTTGTCGAAGAGACGAGACTTGACGCGTAACGGAGTTATGGACGTCAAGTCAAGTCAAGTCAAGTAACTATTAGAGAAGTTGAGGAACTGTGCACCAAGAACTCTCTGATAATGATCAGAGAATTAGATCGACAAGGGGGGAAGGGAAAAGGAAAAGGAAAAGAAAATAATCTAGCAATGTAAAAAAGTTGCTAGAAATTTATGAAAGAGTTGTAGAGAATATGTTTCCTAAGGGCAGGATCTTGTTTTTTTTTTTTTTTTCGAGGGCAAGATCTAAACACACAAAATAAAAAACGCGACTCGGAAATGTACTCGAAAGTGGCAAGAGCGACGGTGTTGCCCAGGGAAGGAGCCGGCCATGAACCTCAGGGAACAAATATATGCAGGTACAATGCCGACAGTGCCTGTAGTGCCTGCAGCGCCTGTCATTCTTGCTGTTTCCATGGTAATTAAGATGCCTAAAGGTTATTTCGTTATCGTACCGTTAATTCGATGCTGCTTCCAGTCTTATTCGCCTTAACTTACATCACGAGATTAACTAAGAAAAGTGAATAGGTTAGGTAGGTGGTACCTTATGTACCTCTCTTTCTAATCCACTCCCCCTATTATTGGTGTTGCAGGACTCCTTTATGCCTACTCCTACAACATTACCTTTTAACAGTGCTCTTATCCCAATCATATTCCCAACCAATATCCCCAACCAGGTGAGATCCCATATTCGTCCCAAACTTCCTACCTGCTCACCAAGGCTTAGGTAGATCGCCAACCGTCTCGTTTTTAGATAGACACCTGCTACCATTGGCTATTCTCTCGACGAAATGACCCAAAATGGAAATACCTCGTGCTCCGGTGACTCAAACAAAAACCTAAACGTCTCGTCGTCTTGGTCTTTGAGCACGTCGATTGCTGTTTCCAGGTGACGCACGACGTCCTCGGTTCCTTGCAACGGCAGCGCAGCGGCAATGTGCCTACCCGTCCGAGAACGCATGCACTCAACGGCTGTCACACCCCTTGCCCGTTCAAAGACGGCTAAGCCTAGCAATACAATAGGCCTATTAGAGATGGAGTGGGTAGCCGGCAGTTACTAGGGATGGCCTGGCTTCAACAGCCTCGACGCTGTCAGTTGCACCTGTGTAAGGTATAAAGGGGAACCGTCCTCTCGTCCTCTCGTGCATCAGCTCCTGTGTGCCCGCCGCGTTTTATGATTGCTTTCTCTTTCCGCTCTAGGTCGGGAGTACATATCTAGATGGTAAAACACATCATGATCCCCTTCTTCACCCCTTGCCCAAACAAGGTAATTCCTATATCAAGATTGTCTCGGACTCTAAAACAATCGCTGAGCACGTTTCGCTAACGAAATCTAAGTCAGCCACCATGGAATAGGTATGGGATGGGGCTTGGATCAACTCCAGAGGCGAATCTCGTGGACGTAACACCAAGGCGTCTACAAAAGGAGACCTTATCGATGCACTAGGTAATCAGAATACTTCAGACACCGGCGAACCGAGAATATTCTGAACGATCCTGCATGCTGTACAGCCTTATTTAAAGTAACCAAACACTCAAGGTGTCCCTAACCAGGTCAAACTTGGTGTCATAGGTACACATGGTGCTAATGTGCCCGTGGATGGTAACATGGGGTTTGTTTCGGCAGCTGAATCACGTGTATCTTTCACGTGTATCTTTGGGCGTATATTTGGCTATCTTAAGCCGTTAAATACTGCATCCTGTCTCGGGGTGGATTATTAACTATCACGTATCCCTAAGCTACCCCCGAAAGCTATACCTACGTTTTAGTCTTACATAATCATTTCTGAATATAGGAACTACTTTGCGATATTTCGGCAAATCACGTCTACGTTTTCAACGACATTATCGGCGATTATACCTTTAGGAATAGTTTGCTAACACCAATCCCTCGGTTCCTGGACTAGCCAGGGGGCGGTATATCACGGAACGGCCGGGCGGATTCCTCGGCAAGACGGGATCTAGACGAATGAATATAGATATATTAAACTCCCGTTTATTAATCTGCGCTGCGGCTAATGCCACGCCGGGCTAAGCAATGCGTAGGTACGAAGCACATGATATCCACGAGGCATGTCCATTTACAGACGCTAAAGTAAGACACCTTTTCAGATCTATATCCTCTTGACGTTGCTCTAATACTGTTATGATCTTTCGTCTTCGTTTATTTTTAAACAACAGCTTATGACCAGAATCAGCAGTGGTTATAAGATATACATACCCCTGAGAGAATAAAATTCCCTTGTATACAGGGGTTAAACTTAAGGTAGTAGAAATAACATTTCTATCTCTTTACTTACCTAAAGTACCTGCTAGCATGATATCAGTCCCACCAAAAGGAAGAATTTAAATCTGCACCATTCATATGTCAAAAAATCGGATTTAAACATTCATAAGGCCTTTCTACCATATAGAGTGATAGTCAATATAGAAAGGTACCTAGCTAAGAGCACAGCGTGTAGACGTTCGTGGTATCTTATAGCTCTACCTGTAAATCCATTCCAATGCCTGCCTATCCATAGACCGAACGGTTCCCTGTAAACCCCGTGAAAATGTCCATAAAGCCTCGTAGTAGATGCTAAATCCTCCAACGCCAGTCCTAATGCAAGTCCCTTGTGTATTCCTATGTGCAATTAATTATCCGGCTTTACTGTCTCTGCTTCCTAAGTACCGATCCTCTCTGGCCAATGCCGCCGGTCGACTTACGGTTCTCGTTAGTCGTAGTTGCCGCTGGTATGGTGCCTGCTGCTGAAGATAGTACGCCTGAGGTTGACATCGGCCTTATAGGCCGTGCTTGCTGCAAACTCTCCGGGCGCTTCTGTAGTCTGCCATTTGGGTAGGCTGACGGGATTTTCTCGCCTGTCTCGGTACTCGAACTTCTCTCCATCCCAAGTCCCTTTCCTTTTTCGTCTAGCATAGCCTTCTTTCTGCCTCCTGGTGTCAGAGCTGCTAATGCGCCTGGCCTGGAAGCGGCAGAGATACCCGAGCGAAGGTTGGTCCAGTTATCAGCTGTTGATTTTGTTTCGTCTGCCACCATAAAGATGGCTCCAGCTAAGAGAGTCAAGAGGATGACAAGAGTACAGATGGCCGCACCAGCTCGATCGCCTCCAGATACCGGGCCAGAGAAAAACCGGCCGTTGGGATCCACTCGTCCACTATCGGAGCCACCCGCCGAAGGGTTACCAACACTGGTTCCACCAGTGCTATTGGTAACTGGTAGCTCAGCTTCATGTATCATGTTAGCCAGTACCACTTCCATAGCCGCCATTTGTTGTCCAACACCAGTCGTACCATCCCATACACCACTATTATTCGCCCACTTCAACCCGCACATTCGGTGGTTATCACCACCGGTACACTGCTTCGCGGCAGCTACGGCAGAATTCTGCAGCAAAGTTTTGATTCGATCGAAAGTCCACGGTGCCCATTTTGTAGTGGCGGCCATCCATCTGCTCAAATACGCCTTAAATGATTGCTGATCCGTATCACATAAACTAACTGGCTCACAAGCAATCTCAATCATAATTCGATTCGAAGTATCGTTCCCGAAAAAGAATATCTGCTCTGTGCTGTTTAACAGACCATCGACCCGTTCGCGCCACATCTCGACATCGCTCTGCTGTTTTGAATTGTTTGTATATGCGACCATGGCGGCTGATCCCAGAAGGAATGCGCCAACATTGTACGAAAATTCATACGGCGTGATAGTAGTACAGTTGTCACCGATATGCGCTCCATCGTAGACTCTATAACTATCGTCGATGAATTTGACGTTGACCATCCAGTCCCACGTTCTGACGGCCCAGTCGGCATAGGTAGCGTTGCCAGTGTAAAGCGCCAAACGTGCTGCGATGTTGAAGAAACATGCCTGCGAGATAGAATTCTTGTAGTCAAAGCCGTTATTCCACGTGAAGATCTGCCATCGCAAACCGCCATTACAGTCCGCCTGATCCCACCGAGCAGCTTGAGTGTTGAAGACGGCTTGAGCCAGTGCTAACCACCCCGGCTGATCTGACGGTGGGTCCTGGAATTTGTACTCAGCCGCGGTCATGACAGCCATGCCCCAAAATCCTTGGTCATCGTTACCCTCGGTAAGTGTCTGGTTAGGAGGCATATAGTCATTATACGGGCCGACCTGATGAAGTAGACCTTGCTGAGCGATGTCGTTGTAAGTAGTATCCCCAGTGTAGTACCAATAATCAATTAACGCGCCCATGAACGCGCCTCCTTCCCACCCTGGTGCTATGAATTAGGAACGAATAGCGAATAGGACATAAAGCGCAACATTAAACTCACAGTAATACGGCTGTGGTAAAAGACCGGGGGTTTGTCCGGGTTCATTACCGTGATAGAAAGATACCAAGTCCTCTGCCATCTTTTTGGCTGTGTCCTTGATAGAATCTAACAGTTTCATTTCGAGGTAAGAAGCTAGGTAGATATAAGTAAGTAGTAAGCTTATCACATACCTGTTGATTCGACGTCTAGCTCATACGTAGCGACGAGGTTGGTAACCATTAAGACCGAGGCTACCGATAATACGGCATTCCGCCGCGAGTGCCACAACCACATAACGACGAGTTGAAGTCCAACTAAAACGGAGCGAATAGGGGAAACCTAGTTGAACACGAATATGAACATGGAATTAAAGAAAACGGACAGGTTCTACTGGAGTTATGGCATTGCAAGTGCAGCTCCCAACAGACAGGATCGATGTAGTACGGCAACACCGGGTGTGATGTGTTCGTGTAGGTGTGGTGTGGTGTTCTGTGAACTACGGGGTGTCGAAAAATCCAACATCAGCAGTATGCAAATGAGGAATGATGATGACAAAGAATGATGTCGATAGAGAGAGAGAGATGGGGGAGAGACAACGGTCTCATCCGAAGGTACTACTAATTCTATTCCCTGTTGAGGAAATCGCATTCCTAATAACGCGCGCATACCAGCGAAATACTAAGGTACCTAACCTAGGTACCTAATTGAGTAGGTGCTGTAGGTACATTAGGAGGTAGTAGTGCTTGTAACAGTGCTGTAATACGAGGAATGCCCCGCGTATTTCTCCAACGGCACCAATGACAAGGGCCCTTGATCATTCGATCCTTCTACTTCTACCTATCACCACGAGAGGTAGTATTAAGGTAAGAACAATGAAAACTTTTAAGAGCCTGCCTTTGTGTTTTTGTCTTGTGGATAAGCTTCAATCGGTATGACATCTTGGAACTGCGAAAGTATTGCACAGGCGACTTATAGCGACTTATTTGTTTCCGGTCCAGCTCCTTTAAAACCGGCTTTCGGATCTGTCGCCTCGGCCGCTACCGTTGACACTAAAATAACACTACTGCTATGTCGTAATAGGATTTAAGCTACCCCAGGTAGTTGCCCATTTAGGTTCCATTTTACTGCTAGGTACGGATACCTATCATTGTAGCCGCAGCCGAGGGAGGTCAGGCATGATGACGCCCAATAACCAATGGTCTAGGTCCTTTTCGATCCTTTCTTGCAGTTCACTACTATGTATGTAAGCGGGGAAATTCCAATGAGAACAAGACATAACTAGCGTGACCCTATTATTCTGTTATACGAGACGTCTTATGAAACTAGAATAACTATACCATACCAAGTGTAGTATAGTGCCAGACTAGGATGACCTAACAATTCATTTGATGAATATCGCGCGCATTTAAGTTAACTAAGCATAAAATGTTCAACGTTAGAAATATAAATCATAGAGTGTTTTTAAAAACGAAGACTCACGTGAACGTTTAGGCTAGCGAGTCCAGGGGTATTATTGTTGCGACAATCCTTGCTAGGTGCACTATAAGGTTATTAAGACGGGTCAGACCGTGTATTACGCATATGAATGTATGTAAACTTCCAATTAAAATCTCGTCTGTATTATGTAGAGTCTCATTATGTAATGCTCTGATACTGCTCAAACACCATCAACAGGACGGTCAACAACCTATCGGTCATAATATGCGCCAGAAACGGATTTGCGAGAATTTCAATCTTTCATGCAAACACACCAAGAGTTTTCTTCATCTGCCTCCTTCTGTACGGCGTCAGGTATATGAAGAAGCCGGTCTCATAGTTGGAGCTGACATTGTTCTCTGCCGAAGACCCCCAAAGATATGGTTCGAGGAACGCACCACAGAAGATGAGGACAGACTCTAAAGCTGCACCTCATTTGCGATACGGGTAGCGATGAGAAAACACGAGCCGTCTTGCAACCGCTCAACGATAACTTGTACTTGCAGACTGTCATATCCGTCTTCATCCGTCAAGGGATAGTTCGCTAGGTATTTACGGTAGCCCAAGAAACAGCATTACGAGCAAAGGGGCTAGATCACAATTTACGAAACCATTCCAATTTATGAAACTTCCGCCAGAACTTCGCCTCAGGGTTCTCAGGCATACTGATCTTGTCACCCCTTGTAACGAGGTTCAATGGAGCCCCAAGAATGGCTTCCACGTGGTACGCTTTGGGACCGGGACGCATTGCTGTGACGCAATAGAGGGAAGCTGGTTAACAGCATCTTATTCTCATGCGTGGCGGTTCTGGACCTGCAATCCCTCTCACATCGATACTACCGGATCCTTTTGCTCCGCCCGTCATAGTAGCTATTCGTCTAGTTGCCAATGTTGGATTCCGCCAAAAGCCCTAATGCTAGTCAGTCAAAGCATGTACGCATACGCTATCGAGACTCTCTATTCCTGGAACCGCGTCATTATCATGTCGGATCCGAACATCTTCTGTTCCAATATCGGATCGCAAGACTTGAGAAGGAGGTTGGATATCTCAAGATTCTTCACTAGGCACATGGAGCCAGGAATACTCTCACATCTGCGTAGTGTCGAGCTCGTATTTCCTGGATTTAGCACTGGCGACTTCTTCTGCCCACAGCCAACCGACCCGATATGTGCTGATTGGCAATTTGCGATAGACAATTTACGAGCCCATGCCAACTTGAATGCCATGACGCTCATCGTACATATGAGACTGTGGTTCGGTCCTACCGATTCGTACGTCCGAGCTATAGATAACCGCAGCCTATTCCATCATTATTTGGACAGCTGTTACAGGATGCCGATCTTAGTATTTAAAGCACACAAAGCTTTTCTAAAGCCATTGAAAGCACTACGCGACGGGGGTCTACAACGGTTGTTCATATTCCTTGAGTGGGATTGGCATTGGTCACCCTCGCGAGGCTGCGCACCGCACTGTCTGGACTGCCAGGATCGGGACGGGCTGAGTGACTATGTTGATGACATGGAAGTAAGCCTAGAGAAGGAAGTGATGGGTGATGATTATGATAGTCGTGCTGTCGGGAAGATGGAAGAGTCCCCTAGTCAATGGATGCTGGTGGTTGAGTAATATGTCCTTTCGCTATGCAGAGTTCGAAAGAGCAAATACCTACAATGTATAATTGCATCCTTTTTCGAAGGGAGTCGGACAAGATCTCGGTCAAGTCTTATGTGAGAATGTACCTTGCCCGACGCGGAAAATATTCCTTAAAGTTACTAAGTGAAGACTTGGTATACCGAAGACAAGCTTATACCCATGGATTTATTCCATCGCAGCGATTACGCGTACAATCCCAAGGGTGACCGACTATTTGTCTATATATATTAAGTCAGATAATAATGAGACCCGGGTAGACCGGTGAACTCGCTGAACTCTCATCAGCTCGGAGAGGCGATATTTCCCCGCTTGAAAGATTAGGAGGTAGTTAAGGAGTACCGTTTTGCAGACCATAGGATATAACCACGTATTCGTTAAGTCATCACTAGATTTCGGAGACATTCCTTCAAGTTCCCGTACAAGAGTATGTACGGGGCTTTCTATAAATATCACAACATAAATCGGATATCACATTAGTATTGCCGGTCATCTACACTAACGAGACAGTCTTGATGCTCACACGATGCCATATCGAGATGAGACCGTAAATCGTCAAATAAAGCCAAGCACTACTTCATCACCAGCCCACGTGTTTACCTTGTGATACCCCAGATATCAGCTTATATTATATGGCACGAAAACCTCGCGTCATGTAACCTCGATGAGCCGTATCGGATGCCAAGAAAATAGATCGATTACGATTCCACGCGACCAGTCGGATTTTCACACCCCCAAGCCATAGGGCTGAGTGATCGCGGATTCGCTAAATACTGTATTCCAACCTATAAGAACGTTCCAATTGATTGGCCGTAAATCCGAGCTGAACCGCCTCGTCTCCTGTCTCGGAACCGACGCCCGTGCCCGTGCCCATATCCGATTAAGTATGCACTCCTGAGCCGACAACCGTTTTTTTATGTCACGATCAGACGCCTGATGTCACGCCGGCTATTACAATGTTCGTTGCTAATACGAATTACCTAACTTAAGCCCCCTTTGCCTTCTCTCTTGCTTATGATGGAAGAAGGATTCCGATCTCAGCTAATCCGTCGTGTTACACAGCAAACTATTTGATATCATCTACATATGAAGCTCGGACCGGTAATTCGTTGGCTTTCAGGGGCTAGGTAATCCTTTGCAATTTGCGCCATAAGCCTACCGGGGCTAGGTATTCGCGGGAATCACTTCCAGATTGCTAGGTATTTGCTCCCCAGGAAAATGCAAGCCATGGTTCTATTACGGTGGCTTGGTTGCCTTGAGTGGTTCCAAATAATAGGCAATTGACCACCCAGACTGGTATCTGTCGACTGAAATAGGACTTGCCAAGAAAATATATAAACCCCAGCACCTCATCGACGGATGGGAAAGATGCAATACAACACAAGCCAAGCTTTCAGACAACTACCGGCATCATTACTACCTTGACTCCCAGACTCCACTTGTCCTATTATTATATCCAACCAAGCAATTCATAATGCAGTTTATTGTCCACGTTGCCCTTGCCGGCGCCGCCTTACTTAACGGGTAAGCCACGCCATACTAACATCAATAACACCACCTTCCTGTTTTCTAAAACTAACCACGCATCATCTACTTATAGCGCCAACGCTGCTCCCGCCGAGCCAACTACACTACCGGGTCACATAGTATGCACCAGTGTCACGACTATTACAACCACAGTTCCTCCTGTCGGAGTCTGCCACCCTGTGTGTATCTCGCCAACTAGGACCTGTAGCTTCGGCGAGCCTACCGCTCCTCCTCTACCTACCATCACGACCAGCACCCTCCCCCACTGCACAAAGGAGGTAGTGATACACGGACAATGCGGCGAGTGCGCTACTTGCCTTTCTGCCCCGACCCCTACCCCTTTGGCCTAAGGTTACAACCTATGCGGATGGCGCGTAGTTCTTTAGGAGCTTTCAAAAAAAAAAAGGCATTGTACGAAAGTTATGGCTAGTTATAAGAGATGGTTTTTTTAGGCAGGATTTGGAAGGAGCAGAGCTTGGGCTTCACAGCATAGGATGGATAGGATAGGAAGAAAGTTAGGAAAAAGACTCACCTTTCGTCCCTTAACTAGGTAGTTAATTCACTCCTTTATTACTTCTCATAGATCTGGCCCCGTAACAGTGACTTGGGTGGGCTTTTGATAGTGATTGAGTTCTTTAGAAAAGTAAAAATGAAGATAGAATAGTTAACTAAAATCAATGTTGAATACAGCTAGCTGTATTTACATAGGCGCTTGCATATAGCATAATGAGTTCTCATATAACTACCTAAGTACCTAGTGATATAGAATGAGTTTAAATCTTAACATTAAAAAGTAACTAGTATGAAAAGGCATTGGTGGCCAAAAACGCTAGGTATTAGGTGGTAGTTGATAGATATATAAACCCTCGCATCATACATATTATCATACTCTTTACTACCTTAGTCGCCTAGGAACCTCGTCAGCCGTTAAAGTTGAATTTTCCCTAGTTAGTACCTAAGTTACTTACTTATATAAACCATCGAAATCAAAATATAAGAATCTCATTACACTAGTTAAGCTCTTCCTTCCTTTTGTTTTATTTATTTATTTATTTATTTATCCGAACTTTGGAGCTAACCGTCCAGTTGATCTCAGGATTTAAAGCTAGAAGTAAGTCTGGGTTCTACGTGTCGGGAGCTAAGTAAGTGGCTATTTTTATTTCTACGTTACTAAACCTATCACATTTCAACTTTTACAGAAAGAGTTAAGCGTTGGAATAATTTGTTTCTCCTATCTTCCCAAAAGATATTGGTGCAGCGACTTGTCAAATGCACGACACTGTGGAAAAGGGGGAAGTATATGTGATTCTCGGCTAACTTTAGTCTACACAGATTCCCATCTCCATTTCAGGGTAAAGGGGGAAAGGTTGCGAGTTATTATGTTTCTGGCATCATTTACTGCAGACAACATGCGTTGCTTATTACTATACTTCACTGGAAAGGAGTACTACTAGTTGGCTACGACATTGAGGTGGCCCCTGGGTTATGATAATGGGGACCAGCTTGATTATGAATACTTCTTACAGATGTAAATTGAAAGGAACGTGGGTATTCTACTTGCCAAAGTACACGATACAACCAAAGGAAAAAGGACGAAAGGAGAGAGATTCCACCAATGTAATCAAAATACATCATCCGTCAATACCAGCCATTTGCCATCTCCCATCTCCCATCTCCCATCTCCCAGTACAATATTTTCTTGTCCTTGTACAAGCAATATTCAACGCCAGCCGTATCCACCTATCTTAGTCCGGATAGGCATTACAAATCTGTCCATCAGTCCTCGCTCAGAAATCTTGATGTTGATGTCCGTCAAGAGTCTGTTAAGAGTTGCCGTTAAAACGGCCGGGGTATCACTTTCTTAGATAACATTCTCAGTCTTCTTGTCGTCAATGACGACAACACCTTCCTCGACGTAGGCGGGCGGAGCATCGACTTCTTCCTGGTTAGCCATCAGGCCCGACTTCTCTTCGTTGACAACAGCTTCGGTATGAGAAGTCTTGTGGTGATGGCCGTGACGGTGGTGGTGCCGGCGGGTGTGACCACGGCGGACGATCGCACGCCAGATGAAGACGGCGATTGTACCGGCAATCATACCGAGACTATAATTTAATTAGTACGCATTCTTACTAGGTATTCATCATTATTAGAGGAAACTTACATGCAAGCAGTGATACCAGCAAAGATACCGACAGCAACAGGTAGTAGAATGTGGGAAGCGATATTCTTAAACAACAACCCCCAGTTCTTTTGGCGATGACCATGGTGGGGTTCTTGAGGTTCCTCTACCTTGCCTTCATCATTAACCTTGGCTTCGTCGTGGCCCTTAACGTGAGCAGGGCGACCACCACATCCTTTGTGGAAACGAAGGCCGGCAAGTTTCTGCATAATAACGGCCTTCCACTTGCAAAGTAGAGTGGTGCATTCCTCTTGCTTATCCATAGGACTATTTTGCGCCGTCTCGGAGTCAATGGTTTTGATTTCGCCAAGCATTAACTTGCCGGTAGGCGTCTTGACAACATTAACCTGGACGTTTGGAATACCATCGACGAAGACATCGCCAACTTCGATGATGTCAAGTTCGATCTCGATAAGCTCTAACGCGTCTTCCTCGTTCTTGGCAACGGGTCGAGTCTGCAAGCCAAAGCCTAGAGTCTGAGGCTTAGGGCCTTTTTTATGAGGCCGCTTCTTCATTTGTCGATGTAGGACATCGGGACGAACAGCAGCGGTCAAGGTGTTTCGGAAGGGGTCCGGGTTGGGGAAAAGCTCGAAGCCATTTAACATCAAGCGATCGGCGTTCTCGGAAGCCACGATGCCAAAGTCCAGCTCCAAATGGCTCGGGATATCGTTCACGATCTTGACCTTTCCATGGTGAGGGATGTGAACGGGACAACCGGGACACTTGAGCTTCAAGTTCTGGGATTCAACAGCTGCAATGGCAGCGCCGACTCTAACGGGGACTGGAAGGGTGCTGATTATGTCCTTGTCAGATTCGGAGATTTCGGGAGGGAGAAGCAATGCGTTGGATAAAGCCGCCAGGCCAGCGGCGGTAATGATAGAGTTCAACTGCATCTTGGAGGTTATGATAGCAGCAGAGGAATAGGTTCAATGCTTCATAGAAGCGCAGGATAATGAAAAGAAATAGGAATGTGTGGTTGTTTGTTTCGATGGACGATGAAGAAAAGAAAGAAAGGAAAGGTTTAGTTGGTGGCGTGTTTGATTGTGTCAGTTTGTAAGGTCGAAAGGTTGGACACTGCAAAGGAACCGGACCCTACGGACTTGGATGACGAGCTGCGTCACGCCTTATCAGCTGTGTGACGATTATTAGTCAGGGGGTTCCAGCTGAAACCACCTGTAAATAGTGGATAGATGGACAGATATGACAGTAGATATATCGAATAAGCACTGTCTTTATATCCAATTGAGTTCTAGAATGTACTTGCATAACCCGAGCGTGCCGGATACCCATTACGTAGGGTCACATGACTGCCATTTCCATACCCGCCCAAGTACCTACTAAGGTACTTTCTGGCGTCTATCACCCGTTGTGACCCTTAACCCTCAATATTCTTCTGCAGATACGCCGCATCTGCCAAAGGCATAGCATCGCTATTAGTTGTCAACTTACATACCTAGACTTAGATGCATTTCAAACCAGGATTTTCGTGCTAAAACACGTAGTTAATTTATCAGCAGAGAGTAGAATTGATCTTCATTCGCCCTATATAATGGTATCACCGTCGCTGCTTTTCTAATTTCTAGGACCATTCTGCACGTATTCTACACATAAGTCTGATCTTCAAATGCGGGATATAAGCTTCTTGTATAATTTCTTCTTTATCCTTAAATAGAATTAAACTATCAGTTACATGAGGAAAACCCGGCCCTCTTAGCTTGGCGGGTTTTATCATACTTAACTATGTCCTCTAAGGAACTTTTAGGAGATATTATGGTTACTTTGCTGAAGAAAACCCGACTATCTATTAGGTCAAAGGCCGAAAAGTCGGGCCCGTCCACCCCGCATGACGATCAGCAAGTTGCTACGACCAAGACCCATAAGGACGCCGATAAATCCACAAGCCTGGAGTTAGGATCTGATACTATCCCACTATCGTGCCCACCCTCATACGGGGCTGCTGTTACTAAGAATGAAGAATTCGCATCCCCTGAATGGGTTGATACCCAGGAGTCCCTTGAAGGGCCACCGAATCCCCGAATAGAAGTCACTGAGACTCAGATACTCGATATAGCAACATCTTGTTTTCCCCCTATCCCGCACGATGCAGAGTTACCACCACTACCAAAGCCAGTCTTAATCCCTCGTGTTGATCCAGGGCTTCACATCCCATTCGCGCGTGCATGGGCGCCAGAATTGGCGAACCACGCCGTCACCCCGGAAGATTTATTAACATTTATCGACAATCTTAATATCCTCATCAGGCCTCATATAGCCGGCCGCGCGGCTCTGGTCGCAGCCCTCGCTGTCGAGTTCATTCCTTACGACGGAACTGATGGAATTGCCGCTGCGTTGGCACTGGCAGCGAGTATTGGGATGGCCATCGTAAATCATAGGCGCTGCAAGAAATATTTCAACATTATGAACGAGGAATACTTCCATCCCCGTAAATTGCACGCCAAGATCATCAGTCCTAAGCGGATAATGAAGATGTTTAACCTCGATAAGAAGGAGACCTTATTGGCCCCCCTTACCGAAGAAACCCTCGATTTAAGCAATCAGGAAAGATGCATTAAATACATGTCTAAATGGGCGTGTGAACTGTCATTCGCCGACCTCCCTCCTCCAAACGGGCAGACGACCGTACTTGCCAAAATGGCTGCGTGGGAAGTCAAGCACAAGATTGCGAAAGCTGAGAAGCAGAACATAAGGAGTAGAAAGCGGGCTTGGAAGAGACATATGAAGGGTAAGAAGCTCAAGGACCCCTGGCTAGAACGTGGTAGGGCTAAATCTCTCGATTGGATTTTGATTCAAAATTTGGAAGAGTGGGAAGCCGCGCAGGCTGAGAAGGAGGCCAAAAGGGAGAAAAAGCAGAGCCCTCGGTAACATACCAGTCGTTTAGGTCGACTATTCAGCTTGCTGCTTACGATGTCCATGTTATGTTATATATACCCTTTGTTATTTCGCCACAGCTATTCAAAGTGTGAAGTCATTTTTACACCTTATGCATATAGCTTTTGATTTCTTTGCATTATACACCACCTATATCTACGCTCGAGTTTCAAAATGCAGATGACCCCCTATATGCTAAAGATATCTTACGGGAAGGGGGGCGAGTAGGCATTATATCCGGTGGTAACTTTGACGTGCTTAGGTATTTTGACGCTATTTACACTCGTGTATTATTCGGGTTAGGTATGTTCCTATTATGATATTGAAACTTAACGACTTCACAATGTTTTTGGAGACCTTAAAAGTATGGAGGCTATTACCTCAAACTAGAAAAGCTAAAGTATAATTAGTTAAATCCCAATATTTAATCTGTTATTTTAATCGTAGTATACCTAGTAAGGGCCTAACTTCTCAGATACGAAGGAGAAGAGTTGTCCTTATTAGAAAAGAAGGGGGATATCGAGAAAAAACAGTTACGATTGCATATCTTTACTATAAGCCTAAAGCCTATGACTAAGTCAAAAGAGACATTAGATGCTACACGGCAGCCAAGTATCAAGAAGAACTCCTCCAGTCAAATATGCTTAGACACTCTCATGACATATCTAGTCTTGACTTAATCCAGTATTCTGGAATTGAGTAGCAATAGGGGATGCCTGTTGGAAACTCAACAGGACAACGAGGACAACTCATTTAGGTACGAAACATCAGAAGGAATATCGACCTAAGATGGAAATATAAACGGCCTCTCCTTGCTATTTTCAAAAATGCGTTACTATTACATAAATGATTACGTGTTGCTTATAAGGCAAGTGAGGCTCCCAGTACTTCGACGCCATTGTTATATTATACATCGGACGATAGATAATTGGGATGCTATTCTAGTACATATAAATAGGCGTGTAGATATAAGGTAGGTATACAATTTAAACAATGGCTGTCGCACCAACGGGCCTAAGGTCAACTTATTAAACGTAAGGACAACCTAAATGCCGCTTCCTTAAGAAATTTAAAAGTGCAATAAGTGGTTGGAAGCACGGGTTTGATTAGAACCCGCCATAGTTATCCAGCAAAAGCAAACCGACTTGATTGCCATATTAATTTTAATTGCTCCCTACCTAAGGTTAGTGTAATCTAAAGCGAGGGAGTGGCGAATGCTGCCGTACTTGGGTCGTTACGAGACATATTTATACCGGAACTTGCATTGGACTTGTATATCTAAAACTCGTGTCAGCGCACATATTCAAGTCGTGTCCGACGTTTTCTTGTCGTAAGGCTGGGTAAATGTCGCTGATGCGTCTAAAGTACATACCTACGTGTAAAAAGGTACGGAGGGTTAGTTCCTGTACCGAAGTACCTTCTAGTTTAGGCGTGTCCCGTCTCGGTGTCTCGATTCTCGGCCAAGAGTGGGGCCACGTTTGAGCGGGCTACGGCCACTAGCTGAACTGATTTAACGATCTGAAACCGCCCGAGGTTAGCATCGACTCTAGTGTAAGCCTATCGTTTGCGCTCCAGCGTCTCGGGATCTCCCCTCTGCAAGATGGCTGGTTTGCAGGAACGACGGCAGAACTGACGTATGATGCAAGCCCGCCACCAATTATCTCAGATTCACCGACAGGATTCTGCAAGGATCATTATATAATTACGTATGCTTTTTCGTCGTGTTAGCCACAGGTTTTCATTAAGATGTCTATAATCTGATTGCAATTGGACGTTCCGGAACATTTCTTCTAGAATGGCTGGCTGCGACGGTAATACTCTAGCGCACCAGTAGGCGGATCCTCTAGTGCGGTGCGATGGATCGCCAAATACCTATCCACCTACATTGCATATGTGCAATACATGTAGGTGGTCAAACTACCTACTTCGTAAATAGTACTACATCACCTTTTGAACTGCGTAGAAGATTACTATTACATAGATCCTATCTACACACCTACGCCAGACCTCTCAGGATTATTGGGTAGCACTCAATAAAGCGCTGTCTCATCGCGCCACACAACGTGGGCAAGGCTAAAATTTCCGGGCGATCTGTATCACTTTGTTTTTTTTCCCGTTGAGGGGAACGATACTTGACATACATGACCACCTGAGTATGGTTCAACGTTCATTATGCACTCATCCGCTTGGCTTAACCATTGCATAGTCTTGCGGGGTTCCGAGTCTAGGTGAAAATTTGCTTGCCAACCCAGACGGCTGGTTCGTACGACAGAGTGCTACCTTGAGATGAAAGGAGAGCTGCGTACGACAAACTTATATCGTACGTAGGGGTCTTCCTGGTCAGCCGCTCTTTATTTAGCTGTATTGCGTACGCCACCCACTTATATAGATTTGTGACGTCTTTCTATCTGTATTTTAGTGGTTGACTGTGTGATCTCTTACTCTAGGTATTCTGTTTTGTGCGATGCCTGGCTCGACGAAGTTGCGCGCGGGACTTTACAGTACGTACCAATAGAACGATCGAAACGACTTAGACCGGGATGACGGACGTTGAATTGTCTGCAAGTAACGACGCTAGTGTTTCTGATTGGTGAAGCTTCCCCTGATGGTTTGCTGATTGGTTCAAGATCTTAGCTCGAGGCAGGGGTCTTAGACTCACGTACAGGGGTTCGGGGGTCTTCTACCCATTAATCGTTTGAATCTTCCTACATTACGAATTATGCTCTCTGGATAAATGCCAACCGCTCCAGGAGCTCAGCGAGGTTACGTCAACTATTGCAATAGCAAGCGCCGTCGAAGAGTGATTTTTATAATTCTTTAAATTTAGGATTCTACGTGTATACCTGCGTACATGCTATATAAACGAGTTATGCATCTGCTTATCTACTTTGCATATAAGTAAATACCTAGTTAAGCGACCACATATATACTAGGATGATGTTCGTATGTGAATCGCTGTCGGTAGGGGTTTAGAATGAGTTTTTTAGATTCGGCGGTTATTACTGGGGTTTCCCATGCTTGTCCGTGGGTCCGGAGTCTCGTTAAAGATGCGATGCACCGATTTTTCTAGTAGTTCTGGTGCCATCTTCAAGCTTTTTCAGTCAAGCCCGACCCCCTTTTCCCCATAATTTTGCATGGACGATATGAGCTAATGCCAGGCACGACCCGGACATCAAGCAAGGTATCTCGATTAGACGGACCTAAACGGAGCAGAATGGGGAGTCGCGATGGACAGTTACTTCCGTTCTCTCTTTCTGTCTCTCGTTGGAGTTGTTCTTTCTTTTCGAGTTTCTTCTTTCTGTCTTGTGCAACTTGGGGATTGCTTGTTCAATCGCATTTTCTGTCCGCCTTGACTGGTTGACTGGAAACTTGGCCTACTTCAACCTTTGTTCAGCCACCCTTCAACGAATATCACAACTCACAACTCACGACCAAGTGTCGTCTGGTCTCACAGCGCCGCAGTTGTTGTAATTGTCTGTTTGACACTCTTTTTTTTTTTAAACTACTTCTGATTCTCTACTCTCGTTTCCTCTCCTTTTTTTCTTCTTATTATCCTTCTCCTTGCAGGACATCCCATCCTGTCTTGAAGACACTTGGTTTGCCCGCGCGTCTTTCGTTTTTCTAAAATCATCGACCTCACTGTCGCCTTACGATCTAATTACTGCTCGGTTTTGTAACATCAGCTTGACCCGAGCTCTCGGTTGGCATTTCTGTCATCCTAACCCTGTGCTGGCCGTGGACCTGAAACGCGAACGGTATCCAAGACTTGAAGAGTCACATCATCTGGGTCTCTCTACCACCCCACTCTCACCTAATCGGGAGCAACGTTGTGCGACGACTACGGTAGCTTCTTTACAGTATCCCCCAATCCGTCGGCAAATATCTCGTCTTCCGACCGTGTCCGAGTCTTGGCTCTGTTGGAAGACTTCGGAAACGCCCACGGGCTTACCTTCGTTTGAGTATTACCAATCTTGGGTGTTGCCTCCCAGTCTGGTACTAGTCACTCATTATTGAACGAGCCTTGGCTGATTTGGGTTGATGCAAGAAAAGGCTAGTTCCTGTCGAAACGTTAAGTGTACGTGATCTCCTACTTCGTCCTATAGTTTTTTTCAACTACCCTGACGGGATATCCCTCGCCGGTTAATGTTGCTGCGACCAGTAGAATTGGTCGCGCCGAGCCCAGATTTTGAACAGCATCTGGCTAGATCTTACGATGCCCTTGGCTCTGGAGCTAGGGCTAAACCTCAAGTCCGATCGCCATTTCTGCCTTGACTGTTTTGCGAATCTTCATGTACACTTATCATAATAATGTTCATTTCTATCTTCAGCTCAGAGACTAACCGAAATTTAGCTTATATTAACGATCCTATCGATTTGAAGTGACTGGGTTACTTTTTAACTGCAAATTGCCGCTTGCCTAGCACCGCAGCTGCTTCTATTCTTACTATTTGTCTTGGTCGGGGTTAGGATCGGGTTCGTACTTAGTTGCTTACCGGTCGTTATTCTGGATATAGTGAAGACGACGACTTGGTTCCACGACCGTCTACCGAGCCGGGCGAATTTCTGTTTTCGATACCTTTGGTTTATTTACGTCGAAGTCGTTTCCCGTGTTATTAGGACGAACACGAGGCCAATAGTTCCCGTTCTCGTTTCCGTTTGATTCCTCTGATCCACCTGCCGGCGGGTCATCGGTTACTGGCATTGTGCCGATTTAAACTCGTAGGGTGGGAGCTGGGACTTGTGTATGTGGTTCATACAGCCGGCAAAGGCTGTGAATGATTAGAAAGAAGTGGAATGTGGAGATCTGATCTGGGTTCTGCGCTGCCCAGACTGTTTGCTTAAATGAGTCAATCTCAAAATGAGCGGTATAATGGCCAACCACCGGTCATGGCGGGGTCTGTTAAAAGAGCGAGGGAGATGGCTAGAGCAAGAGAGCTGGCTAGAGAAAGAGAGATGGCCGAAGCGAGCGGGGCAGGGGGAAATATAACACCGTCTCCAGAACCTCCATCCATAAGACGGCCTCAAGTGCCTCCGGGACTACAACTTAGGGATGAACAAGGGCAGATAGAAATGGCAATATCGAGACCCACACCACTTGCCCAGTGGCCGCTGGCCGGGCCCGTCGCGGCACCGTTACCTAGTGATTCAGAGCCATACCGACCGCCACCTGGCAGATCGCAACCGCCCCCACGCCCTCCACGTCCTAGCAGAGTACCTTCAATTCTAGACGGTTCTCGTATTCAGGAACACACGCCTATCTTCCAATACACGCCTCAGAACGCTAGAGCATCGGAGCTGTCCGCACCCGAGACAACACAAAGCGAATCATTGAGACTGTCGACCAACTCTTCAGTCGGAACGATTCCCGATTTTCCATTGCCGGTGGCTACGGATTCGCTAACCCCGACAAGGAGAAGTTCAAATCTAGGTCCGCCGCCATCCTCAAGGAGAGGAGCCTCGTCGTTTTATTCAACTATATCGTACGTTTCGCCGATACCAGAAGAGAGCCCGAGAACGCGATCACGTACTTCTTATGCGTCTAGCGCGGCGATACCAGAAACCTTTGAGAGTTACTCGCCAGGATACAGTCCGGGCGCGGTCTCTATTAACGACACGATAGCGGAGGAGTCCTTTATTGACGACGACGCGGATGAAAGTAGCCTAGTTAGGAGTGCGAGCATTGGAAAGAGGGGAAAGCCGGCTTTGATAACCACAAGGAGTTTTGAAAAGAGGGATTCGATGCTTAGACCTGGACCGGCGCCGATCCAGGGCGGACCATTCCGAGACGGCACTGGATATATCGAGGCCTCATCGAGCTCGTCCGGAAATATTTCTAGAGAGGCCGTCGGTGCTGGCGTGACTGCGGATAATATGCTGAACGCTTTTGAAAGTGCTAGCGCCACAGATCCTTCATTGACACGAAATATTGCCCCATCACCGAGACCATATAATAGACTTTCCGCGATTCGACGTCCACCACGTCTTGATATTGATGCAGTAAGAGCTGCCGAGGCTAGAGGGAGCTTGACAAGCTTGCCGGATCTAATTCGACGGGCGACGAGGCTAGCATCGCTGATGGATAGAGGCCGTAGACCAGCAAGCCGTTTTGACGATCTCGACTTTCCGGAGGATATCTATGGCAGCGATCCTGAGAAGGATCTTCACTGTTCGTTCCGCTACCATTTATGCTTTATGATTCTTACTAATTGGCTTGGCAGATAATAATAATAATAAGCATCAGTCCGGACTGTCTGATATGCTGGCGGCATTTCCGCCCCCGGCGACTCGAAGTGGGGTACGAAAGAGCAGAGTGTCCACTGCTTGGCCGTTGGGTCGAATGTCGTTCCGCGGCCCACCAGCAGCAACAGAACCGGGTGTTGATCCTGAACCTGAACCGCAGAAGAAGGGGCGCCGTTGTTGCGGGTTGCCCATGTGGACTTTCTTTGCGCTGGTCATCATCTTATTATTCGTTATAGCCGCTGCGATTATTGTTCCTGTCAAACTTCTCGTTGTTGACAAGGCGGCCGAAAAAAGTGTAGCGCAACCGGCTATTTCAAACTGCGAGGCGCAGCTAAATTGTGCTAATGGGGGCACAAACGTCGTTGTGCAGGGTGTCTGTTCTTGTATCTGTTCCAACGGTTTCACTGGGGCGAACTGTACAGTTCCTACTTCTCAGGGTTGCACTACAACATCGATCAGCATGGAAGGCTCCAATATCAATAACGTAACTATTGGCCAGGCAATTCCTCGTCTTATCAGAGATGCGCAGAGCAATTTCTCGATTCCTCTGGTTGCCACGTTGATACAGTCAAAATTCAACAAAGAAAGTCTATCTTGCAATACGGAAAATGCGTTGGTAACTTTTAACGGGCAATCTCTTGGAGCCTCGGCTGAGGTCTCTGGCATTAGTTTAAGCCCTAATCTTGCGCAGGCCGCCGTAGCTGCTGAGGATGTCTCCATTACCCTCAGTGTTTTTCCGGATGTTGATATCACATTGACGGTTGAAAATCCGGCAGAGACTGGCGCGTTTACTGGGAGTTTCGTGGTGACTACTCTAACTAACCCGACTACGATTTCTGGATCTACTCTATTCGCTACTACCATAACACATAGCGACTCCAAGCGATCTTCACCTACTCCGTACCCTACGACAGCTCCGACAACACCACCTGCCTCGACTACTACTATTGCCCCAAGTAGTACAAGCTCGGCCCCCACGCCAAGTTCAACTTTTACTGTCACTGAGGAGGTTGTCGACTTTGCACGCGTGGCTATGCTTTATATTTTCCAAGAAAAAACACTGTCCGATGCAGTAACTGCTCAATCCTCAGTCCAGAGCTTTTTTACGGACGTAGACGCCGGTTGTAACACGTCTTCTTGCGTGACGATGGAGCAAGGATTAAATGTCACTCTTGGCGGAGGGAACACGATTGATTTCGTGAACCTATTCGTCGACATAGGCAATGGACGGGTCGGAGGTGGCAAGAATTAATGTGTTTTTACCGACGAAACTTAGGCGTCTACATTTCGAACGGCGTTCGAGTCGGTCGGGTAACAATACCAAGCTGCCCGTTGTATGAATAACAGGGGCGAGCTGACTTACAATTATGACTCTTCTATTTTCTAAGTTGAAGACAACCCCAAGGGTGTTGTTCTTCGTGTACAAATTATTCGTATCGATTTTCACGCATGAGCGGCACGGGGAAACCAATTGCATGTGTAGAGAAGAGGGTTTGGCGCCGGCGTACATAGGGGAGAACTCGTAGATAGCTCGAGCAATCTTTCGAGGCAATGCTTAATAGAATCATATTCTAACTACATATTTTTTGAAAGAGGCTGCCTGATGTATCGGTTGATAATTCCGACCTCTCCTCATCATTGCTTAGCTTGTTGGAACGTCGGAAGCAGAGTGGGAATATTGAACTTGGACGTTTACATACCTACATGGCCGGTACAGTAAAGGCGAAGTATGCGCAACGCGTCTTTATAATACTGTGCGAAGGTCAAATATGTATTTAAATTCTCCAATATAGGGACACTATGTCAGCTTAGGTATGCCGCGCAATATACGAGGATTGCAGGACACGATCGCTTGGATCCGAGAATCCATACAGTGTATTAGGTTACATAGTTACGGTGCAAGCCGTCCCGAACCTACGGGAATTTTTCATTTTTTATTGTTTTAGGGCCGGTAAGTAAAAGTAACTATACTATACTTAAACGTATCGAAGAGAACACCATAATAGCGTTATTGCAACCCTAGTCCTTTTTTCAATATTCGTGCTATGTATTTGTTCTTTTGCAGTTTATTCGCGCAAGCGGTGATGCAGTGTGTACTAGTTTACATAGACCTTGGCGTCCCATGGTTAGCGTGCGGTGCAGCTATGTATGTACAATATATATACCTCTGGGTAACGAATGCGCTCGTATAGTATCTTTGCCTTCCAAGGCGCGAATGCGGGTTTAAGGCTAGACGGTACCCGTATATATGCAGGTACGGCCCCGTATCTGCCGTGACCGCAACGGCGATTCGCGGAGGTTTGGGGGTTGGAATGCTAGTATTATCGATTTGGCTTAGAGCTGATAAGGTGGTGGGTGGGTTATAACTTATGGCATAGGTAGGTTAGGTTAGGTTACCTAAGGCATGCAAGTCTAGTCTACCTACCTAGGAACGAGGGAGATCCTACGGGGAACTTCTGGAGTTGCAACTTGTATGTAAGACGCGATTGTTGGTCCGTGTGTGGATGGATGGGGGTGGGCTGGTTTATATGTAAGGTACAATCGTAATGATGATGATGATGATACAGTGCATATGTATGAGGTATATATATGTAGGAATATATATATATATTCGCGATATTATATGGATTAACTGTATTGTACATACGTAATATAGTATATAGCATATACTATTCGTAGGCTGTGCAGACCCCCGTAGGCCCTAGGGGAAACGCAGCTAGGGCTGCTTACGAGGCTTTAGGGACCCAATCGGATGGCGTCTGTCGGTGTGAAGAGGAGAGGAGATGGAGATGGAGAAAAAATGCAGAGGCAGAAGAGAGGGCTGAAGAGATGCGGTGTGCAGTATGTGGCCTTGACGGCCCGGATATTTGGGAGGGATATGGGGCTTTATGGGGATTTATGGGGCCTTTTTCTAGCGCTGCCCTGTGATTGATAGGTTTTACATATCTTTGCTTGTACGAAATATGTATCTATAGTGTATACCTAGTAGTGTATTGACGGACTTGGGCTGATGCAGGGGCAGGGCGTTGGTCCGCGTGGGCTGGGCAGTTATGTATGTTGGTATGTCAGTATGTATAGCCTGTGCTGAGGGATCGACAAGTGCCGGGCCTGCGGGCTACGCGGGGGTTTTGCTGCTGTGCTGCTAATGACCGCATGGCCGTATGCTTTTTTTTTTTTTCTGTCGTTGTTGTTTTTGGCCCTTTTCCCGCCTTGTGTCTTTCGGGCTCCTTCACTGCCCTTACTGTATGTATTGTACTGTGCGTACCTAGTATTGATGATGTGAGAGCGAGTACCTACACCAAAGGATGGGGAGGATTCTGCCCGAAGATACCACACACTGTTCCCTCTAGGCTCTTGGACATTTTCTCATCCCCCTGTGCCTTGCATGCCCGAGATGCGGGTCGTTCGGGCTCGACCCATCAGTACTCAGAAAATATTTATCGTTTTTATATCTGTACTTCTCCCGGACCTCTGGGATTTCTTCTGCCAGCTGAAGGGGTTTCGAAAAAATAAAAAGAGAAAGAGTAAGACAATCGAACAATATGAGCAAATAAATTCGACTCTCGCCTAGCCATCTCCCAGCCCACTACGTTCCTTTTTTGATATTTATGATTATGATGATGATGATGATGGTTTGAATATGATCATATTATCTGTCCTTCCTTTTGAATAAAATACACCTCGGATCCGTCATTCGCTTTACCTGATCCAAGCCAACTGCCGAGGACATTCCCTACTACCTACCATACTCGTTAGCCCATCGTTAGCCAGGATTCTCATCACTCATCACTCGTCACTCATTACCGATTCGACCTGGAGCCATCTTGATCTACGCCATCGAATCGACAAGATCGGTAGGTTTCATATACTTGAAACCATCGAATGCACAATCCTTAAGCGGTCTTGGGGAACGACTGCAGAATATCAACTACACATCATGCTGGACCACGAAGCCACACAAGGAAAGCGGAGGAGCCCCGAGCTATTAGCGCTACCGAAACTGATCGTACCCACTACCATTGTTGTCGAGGATGTCGATGCCAACTCATCGAATGGTAACGTCGTCCTCCAGCCTCATGCCCTAAGTGTCGATTTTCAGTATAACAAAGGCGAGCCTGTATCACCATGCTCAGATGTCTCACCCTCATCTCGCTATAGCGTTGTCTCACTTTCACCATCCCTCTTTCCGCTACCACCAAGTAGTGCTACTCCGCCAACCACCGCTCACTCATCAATACCGGACTCGCCACCACCACCATGCACATCAGGCTCGCATTCTTCTATAAGTTCATGGTTTTCCCCGCCATCCCCGCCTCCCTCTACACCACTACCGCCCACGCCCACACAAAAAAGGCTAGCTAGCCTCATCGGCCTTGCGAGCGGGCTTGAAAGTGTCCAAGTGCCTGCTTACGCAAAGGTTAAGAGTCCTCTTCCGGAGTCGCCTGAAATAAGTCCGGCATATCCAATAAACGATCCCAGGAAGCCACCCCGGCGACTCACCAGTTTCACCATCGACTCCCAGGGATTCCGGGAGTCGGTAATAGACCCAGACGTAACCCTTACACCAACCCCACCACCACCAAGGTCATCGCTACCGCCTCCATACTCGCCCGGTCTATGCACTCCAGAGCGCTTCAGTAACGCCAGCGTGCCGAGCACCCGAGCGGACTCGACGACGCCGCTGGCGTATAATCTAGCGGATTATGAACACGGCCGAACTCCTCATAGTCCTGAGTCCGAGCGCGAAAGGAGAAAGCAGCGCGGCGATGTAGAGGCCGGAGGGACGGGTTGGTGGGCGCGACACTGGCAAAGCAAGCCGCAGAAAAGGAGAAGGAAGGTCACGACGACGATTATAGGTGCGGCTTCGGCTGCCCTGTTGATGGTTGTCGCCGGGATCGCCGTCGGGATATATCTCGCAGTGTCCGGTCGTGCGTCATTATAGCCTGTAGGCAAGCCTTACCCCCTATCTCTTATATGATGTAAGAGCTAGTTACGATATGATTATGATGTAAGAAAAAGAAGGGAAGGGAAGGGATAGAAGGTGAGATAGACAGACAAGGTACCAAGGTATACTCATGTGTAAGTATGCCTTCATGTATGTATTATGAGTGTATGAAAACCCATCTGGGCTGCGGTATACCGTCGAGCCCCGAGATAGATAGGTACCTACCTGACAAAGACATTCTTCGTCTCGTGATGAACGGTTGTAAGTTCATACCTCATATTTTACCTTCTCACCTGCACGTAATATGTATCCGATATGTATAAGTATCTGATCTGATATAAGATCAGGTAACTAGCTCAAGTATGATTGGGGATTGGGGATTGGGGATTTATAATGGGTGTTCGAGTTTTAACTGGCTTATGCTGCTTACGCGAAGAATTCGGATACCAAACGCGGACTAGCACGTGAGAGAGTCCAGTGGTCCGATCGGCATTTACGCATGTGCGGGAATATGCGACTCCCCGGGTTTCACTAATTTCCAATACATAGGTACTTATCACCTAAAGCACGGGGGTTTTCTCTTCTACACCGACGGCGACTCAAATGCTTACGAAATCCGTTCCCGCCTACCGTGACCCGTCTACTATGTCAGCTTCATCCGGTCTGGATAATTGTCATACTAGTTGTCATATTCAATCTACCTACGGTATTCATTACATCCCCCTTTATTCTAGCAATAATACCTTTTATATTCAGAAGCGCTGATGTAATTTGTACCCCTTTACGAATATTTACGGCATCTAGTCTAATCCTTATACCAACTTTATACTTACCTCCTACCTTACACCCCCTTATATTTATCTTACCTAACCTGACTATTGACTACAATTAATTGACTACAATTAACCCCCCTAACCACGCTATGGAGCAGTCGAGCATACCGCAAGCGCGGCCTCAACCTAAGCCTAACAAGATAAATTATGCCTGCGAGGCTTGTCGAATGTCTAAGATTAAATGCCAGCCCGGAACACAACCGGGCATCTGTAAGCGGTATGGTGCCATCGTGACCAGTTCCCTAGCATTGGTCTTAACTCTACCCCTTATTATCTTGGTCAAGGGCTAAATATCCATGTCATCTTGCACGATACAGATGCTCCGAGTTCAAACGGGAATGCGTCTTTCGAACCGGTCCACGGACTCGGCGGCCTAAGGTTGCTCGGCCGTAAGTACTATGTTTTCTGTTCCCCTTTGAAACGTAATTCCATCTTCCCCTTTTCTGCCTACTGTAGGATTTAGTTGAGCTTAGAGTATCCTACCAGAGATGCAGAGGCCCGGCCGCCTCCCCCCGGCCCCAGTCGGACCTTCAGCATCGACTTCGCTATGCCTGCTGACGATGATCTTCATGATAACTTCGATGCTCTAAGAGAAAAGCACGAACGCTTCATAGATGCCCTCATACCGTCCAGTGATGATGAATCAAATGGTGACCAGGCGCAACTATCATTGGCGGGGGAAACGTTCAACTTCAACGATCTCTCTATGCCGACCCCTTCAGGAGCAGCAGCAAGATGCGCTTCGGCTTCGCGGCCTATAAGTAGCCTCGGTATCAAGCCACGCTTCAACCTCGAGTCGGCGGAAAAGTTGCTCGAGTCATTCCGGGCTATGCTATCGTCCTCTCCGTGTATTGCGTTGCCCGAAGACGCGGACGTGCGGACCTTGGCTCGCGACATGCCCTTCGTGCTCTTGTCTTTGCTCGCCGTGACGAGTTGCTCTACGAGCTTGCAAGGTCATAGCCTCTATGATGAGGAGTTTCGTAAGATTTTGGCTTTAAAATTTGTTGCTGGCGGTGAGAGGTCTATTGAGTTGCTGCAAGGAATAATGATTTACTGTTCCTGGTAAGTAAATTTTGTTTTATATATAAAGTTATCATGCCAATGGTAGTAGATATGGTATGCGGCGCCCATATACTACTTCACTTCTATATTAAATAAACGTAGGGGTGGGGTAGTTTTGATAAATTAACTTGTCTACTAGGTACCCCTTTCATCTACGCCCGAAAAATACGCAGTTGCGACAGTATCTACGAATGGCCATAGATATTGTACATGACTTGGGATTGGATGAGGAAACACGCATAGATCTCGAGGCCATGCCGCCTGAAAGCAAGGCAGCCAAGTTACAAAGCATCCGGGCGTATCTTTCTTGCTTTCATCACAGTTCAATGTCAGTCAGAATTAACTTCCCCTTCTATCAAATCTTCAGTTTTAACCTCAAGGTAGATATGCGTGGGCGTGGTCTAAGCCGTATACACTAAGGTACACGCCGTGGATGGCCCAATGTTGTGATATGCTGGAGCAATATAGCGACCTTGAGCAGGATCATATCCTTGTCTGGCTCGTCCGTCTACAGTATTTGATAAATGAGTTCGAAGAGCTATATAAGAGATATAAGAAGCGCGATGCCAGCAACCAGAGCGATCACCACAGGCAACTTATTCGGGTTGGTCTTGAGATGCAGCTGCGAGATTTCCAGACTAGAATCCCTATCCACCTTTCAACTAAGCGTATGATACCCTACCCCTTTACTATCTCCTTGTCCTTATAGCTAATGGCAACATACCACAGCGAGTATTTTGATGGCCTCCCTCGCCGGCGATGCGTTCCTCCTAGCCGCACCTCTCATGCAGACACATCGCCCACGTCCAGAAGATGCAACGGCACTCATGATCGACCCCGCCAAACTTCAATCTGCCGCGTATACAGCACGGACATTCCTGGACTACGTCGCGAACCTATCCCCAACGCAGATGAGCTACTTTAGCGGGGCTGACATCACATATTTCATTTCGACGATTATCCTCGCCTATAGACTTTCGTTCCCCATGTCGTTCTGCCCTGGTTATGATTACACCCAGGGCCGGAAAATCTTGGACTTCGGCACGTATCTCACCAAGTTGTCGAGCGATACCGACGACGACGATGCTGGGAGTAGCAGTACTGGAAGGGCAAGCAAGAAAACAGATGTGGTAAGTGCCATGAAAGTCGTACTGGGATCCGTAAAGGCGAGTTTCGACAAGAAGTCCGCCGTGCTAGAAGCCGCTGCCGAGGAGCATAATAAGAGGGCGCGGCTATGCCCCATGTTCGACGGAAGCCTAGAGCAGTACCTTCCACAGTGGGAAGGGGAAGATCAACAGGGAAGCAGCAGCAACAACACCTCGGATTCATCGTACGCACCCTCTTCGCACAGCGGAACCGGGACCGGGAGCTCGGCGGCTCATGCCGCAGCACCGTCGACGGCGGGCGAAGAAGAAGGGGTAGGGTCGCCGGGGTCGGCGAAACCAATGCTGTTCCATGACCTCTGGACCACGATGACGATGGGCTGGGCTGCGGATTTAGATATGAACTTGCAGCAAGTGGTAGATGTGCCGGAGATAAATGGTGTCGAGTACGTCGATCTTATGGGTGTAAGGGAGCCGTTTCATGACTTATGATTAGGGGCGGGATGGTTAGTTTACGCCTAGAACTATGTACAGAGTTAGGTAGCTAGGCTCAGACGGGGGGTTCACTACCTAGGTAGCTAACCGAAGATCACGATCTAGTTTGCTCTGCCTAAGACGTAACGTCGCATTTGTCGTTATCTTTCGGGCGTGTGGGATGTTAAAGCATTTATTCTAGTTTATTTCATGTCTTGTATGAGTACCTACCTGGTAGGTAGGCACGCGTTTTGCGCGATGGAGGTTAGCAAACATAGGAGGTAGGTTAGGTATGCAATGGCATCCCTTTATTACCTAGTCTATCACATGCTTCGACCTTTTAAGACTTGTACTATTACTGAGTATAGGTAGCTTAACAACGATACTAGAAGAGGATGAAGTAGGTACAGGCTGTAAATTTTTGGTTTTACTGTCTTATTTGAAACTACCACCTATGTAATAGTCGAGCAATCGAAAGCGAGCTACGTAGCTTGACGTCTTTCCTCGTCATCTTGCCTATTGTTATATACAAAATTTAACGATGCTGAGCTTCACTTCTTGTTTCGTATTATTACTAGGTATTATTGGTTCAGATGTCCTCCATCAGCCAAGGCAAAACCTTTCTGCCCCAGTACTGAACCATTTTATAATGACCCAGTCCCTCAGGCATGGATTCGATGGCTTGGGCCAGCGCCTTTCCATCCCCCTCGGCTTTCACTTGGTGCAGCGGAGTCATGTAGGACCGGACGGTGAAGATGATGGCGCCCGTACGCGGTAGTTTGGTGAGCGTCTGGTGCTCCACGCGCAGGTAGCACTCGTCGAGAGAAGGATCTTCCTTGTACTCCTCGACCTGTTGACCAGTTCCGGGATAGTAGTTGTTACCGTCGGTGCGGAAGAGATCGGCACCGTCGACTTGGAGAGACCACTTTTTATTAATTAAATTAGTCCGGGGGCGAATTACGATAATAATCGCGACAGGCTGAGCTATGTAGTTGGATGTAGTTGACTTGACTTACGTTCATGCGTCCTATGAAGTCGCCGGGCTGCATCCGAGCAAAATACCGATCCACGCTGAGTCCGAGCTTCCTTTCGTAGCCTGGAACTGGTTTGTGGATCTCCCGGACGGACTCACCGACTCGGGCTGGACTAAGGAATCCTCCTGGGAAGCAAGCAATGTATCCTTGTAGACGGTAGTCTCCGTTTGCGTCAGGACACATGAAGTAGAAGTCTTCCTATTATTTTGCATTTTGGTGTCAATAGCCAAGCCAAGCGCTCTTGAGTGTTTATAGACGGTACTAGGGGCGAGACGAAAGAAATCCATTATAAATAGGTTAGATACTTACCTCGACGTTTTCTCCCATGTATGCCAACATCTGGGCATGTGTAAGTCCCTCGGTCGTGAGTGGGTAAGTAGTTCCCGTAGCTAAATTCTTGACCGATTTCCCCCGCATCTTCCCTTGCGTCGTCGTCTTGAACATGGTTGGGAACCTAGCGGGCAAGTACCTGATCATGATCTCTTCGTATAATTCCTCGATGGCTGGGTTGACGGCCTCGCCGGTCCCGATGGTGAACTCCGCTTTTTCTCGGATAAGAGGCAAACGCTCTTGGATACGACTGAGATAGCCACGATCTATTCTGATCCAATCCGAACGAACGCGTTTTTGGATTCCTGTATTTTATGAGCATGAGCCTGGAGCAATACCTAAATTAGGTACTAAAAAGGCGACTTTACTTACCCATAGTAACGTGCCCTTGAGTCTTATATGGCTGGTATTTAATAGGGTCTACCTTGCGGAAATCGAAATCCCATAACGGCTCGATTTCATCGTCTTTGGGTGATTTTTCCTTAGAGTTTTTCGTTTCCAGTTTCTGATTGAATGTCTTCATGACCCGAGCCAGTGCTAGCAACACTGGAGCTAGTAAGAGAAACCATAGTGCTTCCGGAGTAAAAAACCTGTTGTGTGCAATCTCAAGCATGATGGGGATAGTGTAACGTCTGTTTAATAGAGTGTGTAATGTAATTGCTAAGTCTTCGAGACATCTTCGGATGTCTTATATGCTCGTGAGGAACCCATATTAACGTACATGGTTGAACCTCTCCATCTTCTATTATACGACCGACAACTGTGGAACCCTATCCAAAAGCTTGCAAGCGAACAACTATTTACCTTCCAGATGAAACATCGTGGGTACTATCCTTGGAATGTAGTGGGATGTTTTAGCTAATCAAGCTTGAGGATAGACTCAAAGGAGTCTATTGCAATGTCCTTTAAGTGTGGGGAACCATGGGATGGGCTTGTAGAAATATGCAATCCTGTCTGCGTCATAGCGAAATAAAAAATATGGACGACTCCAACCAATACAACTAGTATACGTGTATTTCTTGACTAAGCGTTTACAGTCTTATGCCATGACCTATAAAGACTCAGACTTAGAAGTTAGGGTTCCTCTTCGGTCGTAATTATGGTTAACTCCACTAGGTTTTGCCATTAGAGGAAGCTCGATATCAACTTTAACTACAAGTCACTTCTGAATGTTAGTAGATTGGCATATCAAGCTTGAAGTCTATGCAAAAAAGAATCCTTACGAGAATCTCGGTAACCATTACCTAATGTTTCGGCTGTAAGTTGCGCGAACCTTGCTAATTAAGCTGCAGTTGGGACATACAATAATGTCAAATATCAAATTCCCCGGCTATAAGGTAGCATTCCAGGGTCCCTCCCCTGCGTGCCATGTCAACTGACTAACGTTGCCAACGAGATCCTTGAACGTCGGATGCGGAGTACCGGTATCCAAGTCGCTAAGATGGCATCATATGTAAAACATTGCGGGGGTGGATGCTTAACCCGACGTGACGGAGTCGCTTGATAAGGTATATCCCGAATACCATCTCCACCTTGTTGTCGTTGACCCTCGATATCTCGACAAGGATGCGGAGTTTTGTGCCACTGTTCAACTGAGTTTTTCCACAATTAATCCTACTCGATAAGACTACGGCGCTTAGATAATTGGCCCATGAAGAGTTTGACTATACACTAAGCAGCACGGGTTTCGGTGGGCCAGAGAAATGAAGTCGAATTAAAGCAAACGGAGCTTCCCATTGGCGAATGAGGCGGGATCGAAGGATGGTAAAGAACCTTGTGCTGACGCAAGGCAAAGATAGCGGGCCAGCCAGTTTAAGTATTGTACTAGAGTTATCTTAACTAGTTAGTTATTTGATAGTTATAGGTTTGCTTATACTTAATTCCTACCTCGGCATAATACGTTAAAGAGTTAAAGGGCCTTCCTAGGAATATTCGGTTACGTTGTTATTTGGTATCTTACATTGCAACGTTCCAAATACATAGTTATGAGACGATACGACGACTGCTTAATAGGTTAGCCGTTCCACATGATTTAAAAAAGCGGTTACTAGTCCGGCACAGTACACTATATTCTACTTAATATTACTATTACTCATCTGCTGGGGTTTTTATCGATCCCTGCTCGCAGAAGTAGTTTCGTACGTACGTACACTAGAACAAATCCCCTACCTAGGCTCTGCGTCGGCCGAAGCTCTAGAATGCGGCTCCATCTTTACGTAGGATCGGTATGGGGTATTTACCGTAAACACACTTTTCTATGATAAGTTAATGAGTTAAATCCCGAAGCGAAGGAATAAGTTTACCAGGAAATGTACGGTAATATAAGCCGTACCTGTTTTGTCTCAACACTGGTTCTTCTTTTGCCGGGTACATTATCTCATAAGTACCATAGCGGAGGTAGGGGGTTTCAGGGAACGATTCCAATTTTTATAATTATTTTATATACGGATATCATTGTAATCAGGTTGGTACATTCTATTTTGTACAATGGTTCCAAAAGTATGGAATGGTTTCGTATGGCGCAACGGTTTTGCTTTAGGGCCTCTGATTGGTCCAATTTTCGATAAAAGTGGGGCAGGAGTTGAAAAAATTGAAAAAATTGACTTGACTGGGCCTCGAACCCACAGCTCCCACGTTCATACATTGTACGTACCTTAAGCCCCACAAGGGATTTAAGGTTTAAACGTTTGAGCTAATGGGACGAGGTGGCCAGTCTCATCGAATTATTTCAAAAATTCAATTGATTTTAATCCTTATAAGCTTTACTTTCAAAAAAATAAAATTTTAAAAAATTTTTTTTTTTCACTAAGACAATTGGAACGATTATATAATACGAGTAACGATAGTATGAAATGGAATGGTTTTACGGTTAGGGAACGGTTTTCGTAAAGTAAAAATATAAAAATGAAAATCTAGCCCCACTTATATTTGGATCCGACCAATCAGAGGCCTTAAAACCTAAAAACGTTGCTCCCCACGAAACCATTCCGTCGGTGGAACCATTCCGTGAAACCCCAAACCTCCGCTATGGTACCTACTCGCTCGTAATATACGTGACGAACTAGCAGTGGTATCAGCGATCAAGTATTGTTGCTACGATGAAAAGACTCCCAATATGCTTGAATTTCGCCCTTCTATAGGAACAGTAAGCGATCATTCTGTAGTTAAAAGACGGGATTGTCAGCGACCGCTTTGTAAATTTTAAGGAAGAGTATTGAGAAGACGTAGGGTAATACATGTTACGACGATATCGTTGCGCGAAGAGCTATAGGTTTGCCATGGACTACATGTATATAGCTTATTTATTGTAATTCTTCCATGGCCATATGCTTCGTTGACGGGGGTTGTCCAATACATGCTTTCCCGTTAAAAGCCTTCATGTAGGTATAATGGGGTTTATACAGGATGGCGTGTGAATACCAAGCGAATACATTCACGCTCGAAAGAAAATGGTGCAAATTTGAATTCCAAAACATACCGATACATCCAAGAAACGTACGCGTAAATAGTGAGGAAATTTCCATGGATGGCTACCTAGTTAAGGAAAGCTGTGTATAAGCCAGGGTCTTCCATAACTTTCTGCTGAGGGGTTAGTTAGAAGGGAGGAGAAAAGAGCAGAAGATAACAAAGATACAAGAGCAACGTATGATCCTAAGCCTAATATATAACGAATGAGTTTTGTTTTAGATAGCACCTGATTCGGAGGCCGGAGATGGTCCTGAACCTGCGAGCCCGATGGTTATAGCCTTTCCTGAGAGGCATATAAGGGCAATTACAACGACTGTCGATCCCGTAGAGGGCAGCACGAGAGAGGAGATGGCAAAATTTCGAGACTCGCTGCGGGTCGGACGGTATTCGGGCGGAAGCCATAGCACGTTTCGTTCATTCCATGTGATCCAGGACTTATCATAGCTTATACCATATCCATAGCATTTTGCCTCGCGATACTGATACCAGTCCAGAATGCGAGGTAGTAATCGGGTTTGAGACGGATATGTAGTCCCATCGGCTATCTTAATACCGATATTGGCATCCAAGGATAAACTGGTATCGTCAAATGATAGAATTGTTGCTCCGCGGCCGATATGGAGTTTTCGTTGAAGGGATCCCGACGCCACATCCCAAATCCTAATCGAACCATCGCGTAGAGGCACGGCCAAAAGATTCGAATCGTGAGAGAATATTATCCAGTCAGCCCTTTCTATATATGTTCTATCCGTGAGAGTTTTCCGAAGGCATCCTGTTGCTAGATCCCATATCTTAATGGTACCATCAAGAAACGGTACGGCCAAAAGTTTCGAGTCGGGTGAGAATATAATTAATCGCATGCTCTTTTTATACGATATATCGCTTAGAGTCTTTTGGAGTGACTCTGCAGATACATCCCAAACCATTATAGTTCCCGTAAAGGACGTCATGGCCAAAAGCTTTGAGTCGTAAGAGAATGTGAGCGACTCGATCCTTATACTGGGTGAATGCCCCCCGATCTCCCGTCGGAGGGACCCTGTTGCTATGTCCCAGATCTTAATAGTGTCGTCTTGGGTCGCTAAGGCTAGGAGTTCCGAGTCGTGAGACAATTGAATCAGTCTATAAGCCTCGTTGTTAGATAGTCGCTGGAGTGATCCCGTTACCATTGAATCCCAGATCTTAATTTTCCCATCGCTTAACCCCGAGGCCAAAAGTTTGGAGTCGTGAGAAAACGTAAGAGATGATACCGCCGCAGGGCTTTCGATTGTTTGTTCCAGAGACCCCGTAGCCGCATTCCAAATCTTAATGTTATCAGATAACCCTGAAGCCAAATGCTTTGAGTCGTGGGAAAAAGCGACCGAAAAGATATCGCCCCCGTGAACTTGGAATGTTTGTTGAACGGTCCATGTTTTTATATCCCAAATCTTGATGGTGTGGTCATGTAATCCCGAGGCCAATAACGTTGAGTCACGGGAGAATGTAATCGATTGGGCCTTATATCCGCCCTCCTCAAATGGCTGATGAAAGGTTCCCGCTTCGATATTCCAGATACTAATGGCACCGTCATCCGACCTCGAGGCCAGTAGTCTGGAGTCGTAAGAAAACTCGACTGAAAGGACGTTGCCTTCACGGACTTCAAGTGTTTGCTGAAGGGACAACGTCTTTATATCCCATATTTCAATAATACGATCGTGTAAGCCTAAGGCTAACAGGCTCGAGTCATGAGAAAATGCAAGCGAGAAGATTGCCATTCGGTTACTCGCGAGGATGTATTGAAGGGTCCAATTTTTGGTATCCCAAATCTTAATTGGTTTATCATCCAGTGAACCTGTGGCTAATAGAGTCGAGTCATGGGAGAATGCAACCGAGTATATCCGGTCTTTATGGCCTTCGAGTGTCTTTAAACATGGGCTCCAAGAAAGTTCAACTTCTGGCTTTATTTTTATCCATTCCGACTCTTCTTTTAGAAACGTCTTCCGCGCTAGATAGTTGACCGGGCTGAATATAAGAGCTGACGTGTATACCTGAAGCGGGCTATTTTCAATTATCCATTTATTGTGAAGAATAAACCGACGAGAGTCATGGATAAGATCTAGTAGTTGGCGGTTACATGGTTTATCCGATCCCAATCAGCTTCGTCCTCGGCCATAGTGTTAAGGTGAATAGGTAATTACCTTTAACAAGCCCTCCAATCTCGTCATCGACAAGATGGCATCTCCCATATATTTAATAAGGCTTAGGGCCTCGAGCCAGTAGATAAACTTCTCTTGGAGGAATTTGCCGACCATATCGCACTCGCAAGAGCTATCTTGATCTTGACAAGTACTATAAAAATCGAAGAAATGGTTGAGCCAGTGGACAGAGGAATACCGCATGAAAGCTAACGGATCCGGATTCGGTGTCTCGATCTCGCCGATTAAGAGCCCAGGATGAGGTAAATCATATATATTTTTCCGTAGTGTTGACATGAGCCTTAACGACTGCGAGAAAATGGTACGGTGAGAATTTGTTAGTGTAGAGGTGAGACTTAAACCTTTTGTTTGACTGTTCAAGTAGTCTTTGGCTGATTGATGAATCAGGTAAATATGGTCCTCACGGACGGTAAGGAACGAACCACACTCGTCTACAATCTCCTTAGCACTTCCAGACGCATTCTGAATTTCTTGTGATAACCCTAGTAGGGCAGCCATTTCTACCAGCTGAAGCGGACGATAAGCTGAAATAGCCACTGAGAGCATCAATTCACAGAGTTCTCTATCTTTCTGATCGAGTTGGCAAATCTAGCTCATCATTCGATCATAGATGCCGCCTAACCCAGATGACATCCCCTCGAGCACAGCTAAGATACGCCGTCTGGGTACGTTTTCGAGCTCTTGGATTGCAATCGATATCCAGAGGAACGTACCGGCAGCTTTCTGATACAGGATATCTCGCACCCGGCTCTTGAGGCGGGTATCTTCCTGCAATGATAGCATGCTTGATATTTTGAAATCAATGTAAGCATTGATAGCATGAGAAACTTGTTCTGCGTTTTGAGCGTGTTCTAGATGAAGCCTTGTCCCCAGGTTTCCAAGTGCCTGCTCGATGTCAGGTCTATTGCGGCTAGAAACTAGCCACTTAACTTGAGATAACGTAGAGTTTCGCGTAATGAATTTAAGAAGTTTGTCTAATTCTTTTCGCACTCGTCGAGAGCGTCGATTACAATATATACTCTCGACCTGTTTATGGCGCGTAACATATCCTCTAGCACTCCCGATAGAACGAAGAATGCGTTATCGCCCTTGAAAATATTCTGGTCAGATGTTTCGTACTTCTTGCGCAAGTACGGGATGAGGCATGACTGCTGTACGCCGAATCGGTACACGAGGCCCCTCAAGACGTCTGTAGCGTTGTTGAGATTTGAGTTAATACCCTGACAGAAGAAGTAAGAGAGCATAGTCGATGGTGACGAATTTTGGTATGCTAACTTCTCTAGTTCCTCAACAATTGTTATGAGAAGCATCGTCTTTCCCTTCCCCGGATCGCCTTTGATCCATAGTACATTGGACTCATCATTATCACGCCATGTCTGGAAATCTTCGTGTTCAAGGATCCAGTTGGACGATTCCTGATGCGACCCTCCCTTCGTTTCCTTGATGCGTCTTTTATCGTCGCTGGGGTCTGACACGTATAAGGCTCTTAGACACTCATTATCTTTCTCTTCTTGCTGCGTCTTCTTCTGTGCCATCGTCTGATCCCGGATGGCCCGATAGATGTCGTGGAGCATTGACTCTGTATCTTCAACAAGCTTTTCGAGAAGATCCTTAATTTCGAAGTTAGTATATGTATCAATATCCCGTTGAATGGCAATCTCCAGGCTTTTCATAGACTCTAAGGTGTTCTCCCAGTCGTCACGCTTGACTATGTCCCTCAAAATAACAACGAGTCGATTCCGGTAATATAGAGAGGCGCTTTTCATCTGATACGAAAGAAGCCTTTTATAAAGTTCGATAATACGATTCTCTAATTCGCCTCTTAATCCCGCGGATTTGCCAACTTGATTCTCTTCGAGAAGGCGCGACAGGTTCCAGTACCATTCTATCCTCGAGACAACGTAGGCAATTCCATCGCGATTGATTGCCGCCTCATTAATTGGGATCATGAGAATCTTCGAATGAGTTAATACAAGCTAACAGAGCAAAGCAAAATTATTAGATATACTCACCTGTAGAGCAAAACAAGCGTCAGTCCACGCAATAGCAGCTTCCGGAACCGACTTAACAGCCATGTCAATCAATTCCTTGACGGGGGAAACGTAATTTATTGCCCCTTGGATATTTTGCTTTACTGTAGCCTCTTTACCTGTCTTTTCCAATCCTGCTTGGACGAGCCGATGCATTTGAGACCTTCTCCTCTCCGAGTCTGTCTGATCAATATCATTATTTTGAACCGCTTCATCTGTTGAGCTTAAATCTTCGATAAGATCGCGCGATAGAAGTGTCTCGTATAAGGTCTGCAATGGCGTTAGTGATTCGCTAAATGTTAGCTTGTCCCCGATAGCATAGGAGCCTTTCGAAAAGATCGAAGTATTGCCTAGACAGTGTATGGAGTACCGCACCACCTTGCGTTTTAATTTTTTTGTACCGGGTTTTCAGACCCCGCCACCACCCTGGTGCCATAGTTTCTCTAAGAATATCTAGGCTTAAAAAAAAAGAAAGAAAAAAAAGAAAGAAAGAAAAGAAAAAAAAGAAAAAAAGTAAACCGAAAGAGAGAGGGAGAGAAAATGAGGAAAATAAAAAAGGATAAAAAGTGCAAAAAGTCGGCTGGAGCCCGTTATCCGCCGGTTCGAACAGGCCCCCTCCGCGAAAAACCTGAAAATGGCAAGTCCCCAAAGGGGTAGGAAGCCCGGTGCTTCCAACTAAACCACCCCGTTTTTACTCCCAGGACTCCGAGGCGCCTAGGGGCACCATCCCGATTAATTGCTGCACTGCAATCTACATATATATGTTACCCAACGGCATTTAATTCTTTTTATGGCCACCTTGCAAGGCAGACTGATAGTACTAGGAGCCAAGGCTAACTGAGAGCTTTACATACGTAATAATGTGCAGCATATCAAAGTCGTTAGGGCCTCGCGGGCGCTTAATTCGGTCAAGTCAGCCTATAAGGTACTTTATCGGAAGTTGAATATGATGCTGCATGCATATGGTCAGCTATTCAGTGTTTGGGTTTGATAGCTATAGTCGCTATTAATTTTTGGATTCTCACCGTACTAACAAATGGCGTTGGCGAAGCAAATGCAAACACTACACCGAGACCAGCGGGTTTGACGAGTCAATTAATAGCTTTACTTGACTTGACTTGGACCTGACCTGACCTGGTTTGGGTAGATCGTGAATATTTTTAATCTATATAGCAGGTACGTACATTGAGGATGTACATATATTTTTAATCCATGATAGGTATATGATTAGTGTATTTACTGTGTCTAATGTGGCTAATGCTGTGGCTTTATAAGGGCATTTAAGCCAATCCGAAGATAAAACCAGGTAAGCCTTGTACCTGACTTGTAGGCGGTTAAGTCTATACGGTTATTTTGAAGTTGCAACGACTCTCGGATAATTCAGGATAATAAAAGTACAGGCCCATTTTAGAGTTGAATTAAGGTTGAGGCCATCAAGTCCACTAGGCCACTAGGCCACTAGGCGCGGGCCGTGGTGGAGCGACTCTCCGTGGCACAGTTGGATCCACTAGTATGGCAACATGCCCCATAAAACTACCGGTTGACGTTTAAATTTACAAAAGTGCCTAAAGCAGGAAATGTTCCTAAAGCAACATTAAGCGAGAGGTGCTTGTTTACTAGAATGGCAATGTAGTAATCCGTACCTATGGGGTGTTATTTTTAAATATCATGCTTTCAGCCTCATGTATATCATTTTACATGTACTCGACATACATGCATAGGTCTTACATCCCTAACCACGTAAGATGTAACAAAGGACATGTAATTAATGTTTATGGCACAACTAGTAGCAATTACTGCCTTATTTTAAGCATCGAACATTATCTTTGACACTACTTATTTAATATCGCTTTACTATAATATTCAATAGCCAGTATGTTCCGAGTTGTATATATTTAAAAGTCCATAGACAATATGCCTTGCACCACCACTGTAACACAAGACGGAATTAAAATACATACATATACGCTGTGATAAATGGGCAGTGTGGCATAAGACTAGGTCCCCTAATGCACTTTATATATAGAACTACCTAGTACAATGCCAATTAAGTAGCCTCGGTTGTGTAACGTAACAAGTGATTCTTTCTTTTTACGTCTCCCCCCTGGGCTCCAGTGGATTCTTGCCCTTGCTAGCAGGATTCGCACTAATATTCACATACAGACCCGCGGCCCCTCCCCCACGTTTTTGCTTTTTCTTTTATCTGAAAAAGGGCAAGACAATACGTAAGCAGGTCTAGGGTGTCCCTCCGATCGAACTAAACATCATTCCCTTATCGTCATTTTTATTCCCTACGTACCATGAGTTCTCATTTCAGTTCACATAGCCGGGCATATATACGATTTACATGTTTAACGGTCAATTTTATTTTCACCTAGTACGACCTAAAGGGCGATCCTGCTAAGCTCAAGCTGCCAAGTATGGGAAAGATTAACTGGAACAGACTCCTTGTCACCTCCGTAAGCACTAGGTCCTCTGAAAGCAGATATCCGCCGCCATAGGTTCTTTTCCCTAACCCCGCATGATTACAGGATGGTGATTACTCCACAGCCGGTACGGCAGGTCCAACTAGGACGCACGAATCCAATGTCAACGTGCTGCCGTTGATATAATACGCGGCGGGCGTGCAGAGGTATAGACAAGCAGATGCTACCTCGTAGGGTGCAATCAGACGCCCGGCAGCAGGTAGCTGCTCGATAAGACCACGCAGTTGGGGAATTCGGTTGTATTCCTCCCACGACATGGGGGTGTCAACCCATGAAGGGCAGACCTGGTTGCATCGGATGCCGAGTGCCTTGTAGTCGACAGCTAATCATCTCATCAGCAATATGTACGATAATAACACATTCGGCATTTTACATACCGCAAGCTCGGGTGAGTCCTCCGACGGCGTGCTTGGAGGTAATGTAAGCAACCTTGTTGGGCAGGGCGCTTATTCCCAAGATAGAAGAAATGTTGACGATCGATCCACGGCCGAGGTCTCTAACGCCGTGGCGGCCTAGATCAATTTTGGCAGACTCTTGAGCCTTCATGACCTTAGCAACGGATTGAGTGACGTATAGTATGCTCTTGGCGTTGATGTCGAACACGCGATCGAAGTCAGCAACGTCCGCTTGGTCGAACGGAACGTTCTTGCGGCCGTCGACCTGGCCATTGATACTCGTCAACATGCTGCTTCAGGTACGGGTATCATCGGGAACTTACACCTGCGGCGTTGACGACATAGTCAATCCTGCCAAATTCCTTGACTGCGACGTCGACCATCTCTTGCACTGACTTGGCGTCCGTCACGTTCACCTTCACAGCCACTGCCTTGTAGTCCTTAGCCAGAGCTACCTTTTTGCTGCTCTCGGCAGCTTTAACAGCTCCCTCATAGTTGATATCGGCGAAGAGAACACCCCTCGAGCCTGCCTCAGCAAATGTGGCACCAAGCTCTGTACCAATACCACCACCAGCCTATTCAAAGGGAGTCAGCACTAACTTATAGAGTTCTTCCATTTGGATAATACTTACACCAACTAAAATGGTGTAACCGCTAACTTGGAAAGCCGCCATTGTGAATGAGAATATAGGCAAAAATGAAGTCCTAAAAACGGAAATATGGCAAATATATGTATGGTGTTCGTGATACCTGTGGAAGAGAGCCCGGTTGTACAAGTGATTATAGGAGAGACGAAAGAGAGAGAGAGTCTACACGTTTAAATACTTCTTCGTCTATAGACAAGTCTTCTCCCAGAAGTCAGCCGTCACCTCCACGTAGCTCGGCATAATGCTCGAAACGCATTGCTGGCGCGGAGGGAACGGGCGCTTCTTACAAAACTTCAACCCGCCCGTGACGTATAGTCTGATGATTACGTTACAAGACTCCAAAGAAAACGGCGGTTGTCATGTCCAAATCGGCGATGTAGTAGTAACGCCGATAGGATCCCAGGGGACGGACTACACGTGTCAGCCCGAACCAAGGAAACCGTGTAGGGCTAGAACTGAAATGCTACTCTTCGGTCAGATCCGGTTATCTAATACATGTCACAGTGTACGCCTAATGTGAGTTATGACGAGCCTCAAGTTCAGGTCGTAGTTATTGAAGGTCCTTACGAATAATCTATACTAAGCGATAGTTTTATAGCAAGGCTGATGATGAGTTATTCTTGAAGGAATATCTAGCAATAGCCTCGAGTCTTAGACGACGTCCGTGTTGGTATATTTGGTATATGGGTCTCTAAGCACGTTCTTCCTAGTCCCCGAGCGCTAAGTCCTACGGCTTATGGACGTGCGACATTTGTTCAGGGATTCCTTCCTATAATGTGACAGGTCGGTTTACCATCCAGGGCCAACGTGCATACATATGTATGCAGCTGGTATGGAACCTTTGGAATGGCCTGGATGTCACCGTGAGCCTAGTTGCTTCCTGTCCTACCAGTTGGTTACCGGTTTATACCCAGATAGCTTTATTCAAATGATATGATTCGGCCATCGTCAATATTTGAAGCATAACGATACAGTAGCCACTGTTTCACCGCTTCCTTTGCAAACAGTTAACAGTTCCGCGTATATGTACGTCTGAGTATCAGACATGGCCCCCAATATGCAGTGTTGACCGCCACTTGCGAAATGTATGTAGTTACATGTTATATAAGCCGCGATTTTTACCTTACAAAGGATTCGTGTGGGGAAGCGTATTGCTCGGTACCTCCTACGCTCGTTTCGTCATAAAGGCCTTATGCCCGAAAAATCCCCGTTGTTAAGAGGTCCAAGCTTAAAGCTGGACTGTTGGTATTAACCAAAACTTAGATGGGGGTTCCCTTTACGGAATGGACTTTTGGTATAATATAAAAATAGCTGTGTTGAGCGACTCGAGAATAAACACCGAAACATAGACGGGGTAGGTAACATCCGAGTGACATGACGCTGTGTTGCAATGTGTAAGCAGCTTACGTATTTCTCCATTATCGAAAGTCATCACATCAGTCAACTACATTTCAATCCTAGAGTACACAAATAAGAAGAGCCCGTATTCGGTTTCAATAATTTACCTCATACTCCTAAGGTATAGAATTGAGAAAGTTACAACACCAACTACCGCATGATACACAGTAGTTCACCACCTAAAAGTCATGAAAGTCCTTATAGGCAGAAGGGAAATATACACGTTAGCAGCGCAAGTTGACACTTTCGTGCTGTCTTATATTATTAAGTACCTAAGTTAGTATATAACTTCAGCTTGCGATATTGATGTCCGGGCGCTATAGCTAAGGAAGACGGCTACCATTAACAGTCCGTGAAGACAATGATGAGAGTAGGTAGGTACCTAACACATTACCGTAAGCTAATATTAAAGACTTATATCACTATCGGCCTTTTTCCCTTTTCCTACTTAGGCACTCAATTTCTTTAAGATGGATAATCAGTAACTACACTACCTAGCTTGAAGTGTGGTTTATAGCCCATTAAAGTGCTGAGGCTTAAATTACCGACATATGATAGGTACCATGCAGATATTATATGCAGTTCCTCGATCGTGATGTCGTTCCTCCAATTTCTTATGCAACTCACCCTCCAACACAATGCGTGGACTAGGTAGTCAGGCCATTAGCGATGAAGTTCAATTATTATAATCGAGTGCCATTATATCACTTACTCCAACACAAGCACCATAACGTACCAGCGTATCAGGGAAAGCCGTATTATTAGGGCTAGGCCAAGGCGTACGAAGGCATAATTCAGTTTGAGCAGGATCCGACTGCACAAGATCGAGTTCGTCAGCGCGGGAGGATGAACAAGGTGCTTATCTTAGAAGACTCACTTGTTTGCATGCCTGTTTTATGCAGTTACATGCGCATTGGGGACGGTAGAATGGGTCGAGAACATAGGGATCGTCGCCGTCGATTAGGACACAGACGTTGCTCGGAGATCCCCCGATCTGTGGTTTCACAGACCGCCCGATCGGACCGGAGTTCACGCAAGCCGCCAGTACCAAGGCGCTCAATATTTGTTGCGCGTACATCTTGGGGTCTGGGGATAAAAATAATGACGTATTATGCAGGGAGCTGCGTCGGGGAATATATGAGGACAAACAACTTCTATCCAAGGTCTTGGTAAAAGAACAGAGCCGGGTAATAGAGTTTCATTCCAACGTTCTACTTATATAATAAAAATGTCACTATTGAGCTGCCATTCTCGGATATCGGTATAGACCCTCGATTTCGGATGTCGTGCCGAACATCGTGTGAGCAATTTCTGCAAGGCACATAAAATAGCCTTCGCATCTTCAAATCTTCCCCAGATTTCATTCATGCGCGGGCCGTGGGATTGCATTTAGCCACGAGCCGGAGGCTATCGAAATGCACGAGATTAGAATCCTGATCAAGGATTATTAAAAATGAGATTGACCAATATCAGCACTTGATACTACCGCGGAGTTCTCCGCGGAGTCATAGGGAAAGCCTAGAACAGAGGCGCAGTTGGCTGCCTGGAGCCAACGGAATGATAATATCTCTATGGTCATCCAAAAATGGCAGTTACTGACTCGAGATAGGCAGCAATTGGCTAGGTGGTATTTGATATGAATTTCGGAATTACCTATATCAATATTTGTTAACGTCGAAACGTAGTTGAATGGATGGGCCCAAATATATAGATGGTGCCGTTAGACTTCTAGATATAATAATAGTATATAAAAGTGAGATAACGGTTTGCTATAAAGTAGGTAGATGGCCTTTAGAACAGCAGCGAATATATTGGTACAAGAAGACAAGAAAAATAGGGGTAGAGAGGAAAGCCAATCCAGAGAATCTATCATCAGGAGAGTATTACTTTATCCCAAATCTATTTTCACATACCACACAGAAAATAAGTTAATATAGTTAGTGCCCTAACTCTGTCGAGTTCTATATGGATAGAATGTGTAGCCGGAACTAGCTTTTATCAACGGCTGGTTACCTGTTTTTGATGTCACAAGGCTTCATCATAACCCTCCGCGGCTCTATCTTGGCAGAGCCCTTACTAAACTTTAGGGACCGGATTTGCTCCCAAGTGGCATTACCTCCTCTTTCTTCGACGGCGGTATCAGGCCAGGGTTCTCACCAAGCTTCCTCGCGAGATCCTGAGCAAACCCACACATCGTAAGCGTCGGATTCCAGCTTCCTGCTGTGGGAAATAGCGCTGCTCCCGTCACAAACTAATTTTTTTCTCGAGTCAGTTCGCAGGTTTCCATGAGGATTACTAGTTAAGTATTAATAACTTACCACGTTGGCGACTTCGTGCGGTCGATAAAAACTGTCGAGCGAGCCACCTTTTGATTCTGGTCCGACAAAGGCCGTGCTTGCTTCATGTACCACGCCGGGAATACGAATATCTTCCGTAGGAGGCTTATTGGTGCTCCATTTCCCGTTATGGGTGTCCCAATATTCGACGATACCTGAGTCGCCAGACATAGCCTCGATAGTCTCAAAAGTGGCTTTATCCATTGTATCCCAGAGCTTTTTATCGTCATCAGTCAATGTCAGCTGTAGAGTTACATTGGAGGACGGATCCTTGGAGTCATTCAGTCGGACGAAGTTCTCCTTATTGCTTTCGTCTAATTCTCCAAGCGATGCACAGACTAAAACCGTTAGCTCAACCACAGCTTACTTTATCCAGAGTACCTGAGTGACATACCAAAGACAACATAGTTCTCGGAGTCTTTTAGCTGCTCGTATGTTGCCGCTGCTGCATAGTCTGGGCATTCCCGTGCGGCATCGTCAGCATCATCTTGCGGTCTAGGACTGTGTATCGCTGTTATCTGGACGTGGTACTGGCGATGAGTCTTGGGATCCATTCCAGCAAGGTATGTTGCTGCAATCTCCAGGAATCCGTTCGATTTCCAGTCAACATTATCAGCTAGACAGCGCGCTGTGATGTGCGACTGGAAGTGACCTGTCAATCTCTTGCCTACTGTCTGATGGCAACTATAGAATGAGTTGAGAAGTAACGTCGCGTTAGGAATCGCCTAAGGTAGGGTTAACAAACTTCTTTGCATAAAGGGAAACTCTCACAAGACATACGCCGGCACAGAGGACTACTTTTGTATCGTCGTCAGTCCACGAAAGTACACCGCGACTCGTTTCAATGGCACGAACCACACCATCATCATCTTTTTTCAACCCGGTAGCCGTGCAGTTGATCATTAGTTCCAACGGCATCCCCTTCTCTTTTTCAGCGAGTACCCGTTGGTTTTCATACTGCGCAAGCAAGGGCCCAGGGACAGAGAATTTGTTGAAGCGCATCAAAGATGTACGAGCCCTAGGACCTACGGCTAAGGGCGCCGACTCCACACTATCGGCTGTAGGAATCTTACTCAATTCCTTTTGCAGAATCTTGTCGATAGCTTCCTGCAAACCTGAGAATACCCTATCATCAATTTTTGTTGCTGGTGTGACATTAAGAAGCTTCTTAGCCGAATACCAGAAGTCTTTTTCTTCCGTGGTCTTGATTAATTCCTCTGGGAAATCTCTCATTAGACTTTTATCAGGCTTGGGACTCCAAGCGGACCAAAATGTACTTCTACCGCCGAAAAAGGGGCAAGAGCCGTGGCAGAATCCAAGCTCCTTCGTTTTGAACGTCTTTCGCGAAAGGGTCCATGGGAAAGTTTCTGATGGACCACCAAGTACCATTTTGAATGGCAAGGGGAGATTTTGGAAGTGAGACGGAAGCCAGAAATCTAATTATACTATTAGTTAATGGCAAATAGGTATATTGCCAGATGGGATTATTACATACCGCCTCGTTCGATGCACAAGATTCGCTTATTCACGTCATGCTTTAACGTTTCCGTAATGAAGGCAAGCGCAGTAAAACCAGACCCAATCACAATATAATCGAACTTGCCATAGGCAAGAATGTTGGTCCAGGTGGCCTCACTAAAGTAACATCAACACAAATAAGGAAACATAGGGGGTTTAATGACAATCCTAGTACCTGACAAAGTAATCCTGGGCCATGACAGATGTTGAGGTCGGGTTCTGCTCTCCTGGAACGGGAAAGCCCCCAGAGCTAGCTCTCATATTGCCATGGTCAATAGGATCTCCGACTCGTTTGTGAAAACTTGGTATCGACCCGGAGGGAATCTTCAAATAGTCAGGGAGAGTAGTAGACTGCATGTTTGGTAGATTAGACAAGTAGTGTTGCTAATTTTGAGGGATAGTTTGGTAAGATTGATAAAGGGTTCAAGGGGGCGAGGAAGGTGGTTTTATATCCGTGGTTGTGCTCATCTTACCTAGGTATCTAAAATACCTACAGTCATCTTTATATAGCCTCTGCGTACCACAAATTTGATAACTTGTACATTATCTCAGACCGTCTGGAACGCCTATTAGGGACCCAGTACCTAACCACATGCTAGGACATCACCCTCTTACATGGCTTATAGGCCAATATTGCACTTCTTGGACGATTACTGCATGAATACTGTCACGTTTGACGCATAGGTATTACGCTCAAGCTTTACCTTATTGGCTGGAAATCAATCTTCTTTCCCGGAATGACACCGTTGTCCTGTAGCTTTTCAGCTGAATCGTATCCTGCGAGGAGTTTTCCGGATTCGAGTAATTTCAGCTTATCCGCTTAGACCTTACACGTAACCTATTTCCCCGCATATCTCGAGGCGTTATTATAGTATATCTCCTTGAACATAATTTCCCCGCTCCATATGCTAGATATTCTAAGCCTGTATTGATCGCTTACTCAGCTACCGTGTCATTACCTTAGGACTATTCTAGGATAAACACATCCCTATGGCAAATAGTTAGTTTAGTGACTATTACTATAATTACTACGATCATGGAATTATTGTCACTGAAAAGCCTATGATATGGCTATGGAGAACTCCTGAGAAGTGACTGGATATATTCCAAGTACTACTCAAGAGGCTGGCTCTGTATCTCGATGTTTAGGGGTTCAGGGGTTAGGTACCTACGTACCTCTTGACCAATGAGATGAATGATTAAGTTAGCCAATCATTGCTTGGTCATATTCCGAAGAAGGCGGGGGCTTATGTAATACTTATGGCGGGGACATGCATACATACAGTAGTGTATGGACTAAAGCCTTTAGCTCAAAGGTAGAATTTGAGTTCAGCAATAAGAGCCTCACTGCCTCATCAGCATCATTGATCTATACACATTTCATTCCTAGGTATACGGTATACACTTGATTATTACATCATGCCCGCCTACGAACGCGCGCTTCGATGTTGAAGAGTCGAGAACTCTTCGATACGTGACCGAGAAGAGAGTCGTGATTTGAGGTCTTAGAACCAATTACCGACATGATGCAACCACCACGCGCTCTCCTCCGCCGTCTCCTCACCCTCCGTGCCTTGAAATTTCCATTTCCTCCCACATCTCGCCGATTTACGAGAAATACGAACCTCGCATCCCTAGGGCGACCTCAAATTCCATTCCTATCTGTGCCGCTAGCTAGGAACCACCAATTCCGGTACCTCACCACCGAGCGAAAACGATGGTTGGCCTATGAGGTTTATCTCGGATTCAAGTATACCATATATATCTGGGCCATTGCTGGATTCTCTATCGCCGGCTACTGGTGTATACAGCAGGAGTGGCTTGAGAGGAAATACCCGACGCCGCACGAATGGAACTTCATAACTCGGTTGCGATCCAGACTCGCGAAATGGGCCCCTGACCGAACCGATTTGCCGGATATTGATTGGGTCCTTACTGGCAACTATGCTAAAAATGTAATCGAAAGGCTAGAAGATGAGAAGGGCGAAGGAGCCGGCCTTGCGCAGAGCCAAACCGAAGGCGGAGGGTATGATATAACATCCAAAAGCGAGCCGTGGAGGAGGGGCTATTACGAGGTCTTGATGCTGTGTGCCAAGGCGGCCGAGCACCTCGATGACCAGATCGTAGATAAGACGCGGCACTTGGTGTTCCCGGCCAACCAGGTCATAGGACCATCGAACCCGAATCCGAAACCCATCTCCCCTGGCTCACCAAGTGCCCCTCGCGAAGAGGACTGCGAGCGTGCTTTCGAAGCACCCGAAACTTTCTACAAGAAAATACTAGCGACCCAAGGTTTCACATCCAAGCAGAAGTTGGACGCGGCGCTAGAGTACGCCTCGTGGCTAGACTTCAAGGGTCTTCCCGACGCCTCCGAGCTCACATACGAATGGGCACTGGCATTAGCTACGGAAGGCTCACCTCCTCCATACGACACGAAGTCATACGTCCTACAGGACCTCTCACGCCACCCCTCCGCCAATCTCCTCACCACCCTCACCGCTCTCGCCACACACAAGGCGCGCACAGGCGACATCGCCGCAGCCCTCCCAATCCTAATCTCCGTCCTCCGCGCACGTAGATCCCTCCCGCATCCGCAGCCCCAAAAGAAACCCACATACGTCGACCCCGACCAAACACAGTCCTCCTCCCCCTGGACCTTCCACAACATCACCGGCGCAGCCGCCCGTCTCCTCTCGCCCCCCGCATACCCGCCGCCCCCGGATGACGGTACATCCCCTCCAGTCCGGGACGCGAAGGAGCTATGCGAAGAAGCCGGCCTGGACCTATATATCGGCGAGATCATCTACGCCTCATCCCCCGGCACTACCAAGGGCTGCGAGGACGGCCTAGCCTGGACGCGCGAAGCCGTCGACCTAGCAGAGGAACAGCTGCACAAACTAAACCATAGCGGCGACGCCCGCGGCAACGACGACGCCAAGAAGACGTGCAAGGAATGCCTACTCGCCGGCCTCGATAACTGGCAGGCCATGGTGGCGCGGCTCGCGCGCGAGGAGCGCGAGGCGGAAGCTTCGCTGGAGAAGAACGGGGAGCCAGCCAAGACGAATAGCGGCGGCTGGTTGCCGAGTCTCTGGGGAGACGGCAAGGCTGCGACCGCAGCTGGTGGACGATGGACTGCGGAGGAGAATGTAGTCAGGGAGAGGATGAGGAGGGCGCAGGATGTGCTGGAGGAATCGGAAGCGCCTAAGGCCGGGTTTGCGGCTTTTTTCCAGGCGTGATGTGTGTGATTTGACATGCGCGTATGTATGTTGTTACAATATGTACCTAAGGGAATAAAAATAAATGGTAAGAAGGACTCCTAGGGGCGCTTATCTAGGCCAACATTGCATATAATACATATCCCATCCCATCCCACCTTGCCTGTCATATTCAATAGATGAGGTTGCCTGGATTCACGTAGGATATAATAACTAGGCATAAGAAATCTATATGCATTTTCAATGATGGGATGAATAATTTAGTGTACTGTATATAACCATAGCTTTTATTGAGAATTCACTTCAGGCATAATAGACGAGATTTGAGAAGTGTCAATTGCCATATCCACTTAATATCTATCTACCTATATAAGGTGTCTGTCTATAACCCAATCGCAATCCATCTGGCAAGGCTTGATTGAGGTTAATATTCGTTTGCTCGTTGATTCATTACGTCGTCAAGAATATCGTTGCCCTCCAACATTAGACGGAAATAATAAGGCTGGCCTAGTTCTTATCCTCGACCTGTCCCATCTTCACGTTTTCCTTCTTGGCCTGCTCATTATCCTCATCACCTCGCAGCACGAAAAGGTTCGGCTTTTCGCCCTGTGGATCGCCTGTTTTCTCGTAGACCTGCTCAGTCCACATCTTGTCATGCTCGTCCTTCTGACCAACTAACTCTTCATTCTGCCACGGGCTCCAATCCGGTTCATCGGTGTCAAATACGGGATCGGCAAAATCAACGTGAAAGTATGGGTTGGTGTAATCTTGGCCCTCGGGTGTCATAGCCACTTCTTGAAGCCAGCCGAGGATAACCTCGGAGCCGGCGATAAGCGCTGTCTCTGTGTAATTCGGTTCTCCACTACTGAAGATAGGACATCCCATCTGCGTGAAAGTCGTAGTCTTCGGGTTGCCCTCGGGGCCTGAAATAACCATGCCAGCTGGCTCAACGGAGGTTACGTACGCGCGGGCTTTCTATATATCGGACGTACAAATTAGCTCCTTATAATCCAAGAACCAATAAGAGGGTACAACGTATAATCAAAAGGAGAAATAGGGGGGGTCTTGAATAAAGACTCACATTTCTCAAGAAGACGTTCACAAATTCGTCGTTCTTCAAATCCCAGACCGGATACAAGCCACCAACAATTGCAAGGCAGCTAACGCGGCTCTTCCAGACATTCCACATAGGGGGTAAGTCCAAGAACTCCTCGACATAGTCTGCGCTGCTACCCAGTACTATGATATCGATTTTGGCATCGTCCTTGGTGAAGTGTGGGATCACCTCCTGGAAGATATGACCAACATGCATTCTCGGGCTCGAGTTCTTCTCGACCATGTTGCCCTTTTCAATTACGTTGTTATAGTGTACAGCACTCTGCATTGGCGCTGCAGCAAAAGCGCTGCGACTGAGGGTACGTTTCCCCTCTGGATACCAGATCAGCTCACCCATGTTGGCAAGGATGATTCCTGGAGAGGTTGGGTCGGAGGGCGAGGAGCATTGTTTCTGAAGGGCAGAGACAACAGATACCATAGAACCTTTGTTTATACCGCCAGGGCCACCAATGATGCGATGCGCAAGCACACCAAGGTCCTGCACAGTCTCGCCGAAGATGACAACGACACGCGACTTGGTAGCAATGTCGCTACTGACGAAGATAGGAACATGTGGCTTGTTTGTGTCAAGAGTACCTAAGGGTAATAACTCTTTCTTCAGGCCCAATTTCTCTAGACGCTCCCAGATCACATATTGTAGGGCCTCTGAATTACCATTACCATTTGCGTTAGCTAAAGTTTAGCGTATCGTAGGAAGCCAAAAGGAGAAAGAAAGCTAAGAGAGCTTGCTCACGATTGAAAGCATAGCGCTGACGCTCATTCCATCGGGGGTTGCGGTTGAAGAAGAAGTGGAAGTAGTTATCCGGGTTATCGATGGCGCGGACTTCGTCATCTTCATTGATAAAGTAGCTAAGGGGAATAACCTGTTAGTAAATCCGCTGTCTTGCCAGGTAGAAAACAAGAGTATCACTTACCCAAGCTTCGATAGGTCAACGGGGAAGTCAGGGTCTGCTGGTAGACCTGACCACTTTCGTCGGAACATGGTAAATCAGTAGAAACCAACCAGTGATATACCGATAAGTATTGTTAAAAATGCTTTCTAGTACGAATATTGGTTAAGGATAAATGAATAATAGATGACTTGGGGATGTTTGGTTCATCAATCCTGGCCGCGATGCTTAATGTGATATTTTCAAGGTATGATCAAATGTAAACGGTACCTAGCAGCATGGCTGTCAAACGAATTTATTCTCTAAAAGCTACCGTTTGCAAACATGCAAACATGCAAACGAGGGAAGCTGCAGGCCCGGCTCCATGATACCTACCTACCTGCCTACCTGCCTTACCCACATAGACCTACCTCCTATTAGCACAACTAAGTAGATGCAGTGCTCTTATTTTAATCAAAATGTTGAGATAGGCAGGTACCAATCTATGTCACTTCCTGCCAGATCTTGTCCCGGATAGGAGGTGCTTTACCTTACCTAACCTAGGCACGTACGTAGATGTCCAAGCGCGTGCATAACCCAAGGTAAAATCCCATAGAACACTCTTATTAGGTAGAAGTTGAGTAGGTGGTAGATTAGGTAATCGATGTTTTTGCTTCATGATTACCTTAGGTATAGGTACCTTACAGCGCTCATCCGGCTGCAGCGTCATAATATTATCAATGTACATATCATGCCGCAAGCATGAGTCGCGAGCCAAGTAACAGCGGCCATGTCCTATTTAGGTAGCATCACTCGTATGTATCCGACTTTACCAGCTGGCCTTCTTCACACCCGGAATATTTCCCGCTATAGCTTGCATCCTGAAGTTATACTGCGCAAATGAGTTAGTTAGCACCTGTCAAGGCCTATTCCTATTCGTATGCAGAATACGGCTTACTCTTGACATCTTGAAGTCCCGCAATATACCTCTTCCCTTACCACCTAATATGCATCGCCCACGGATTTGTGTCGGTCGCGTGTAGCAGTGCATCTGCGTAAGCTGTAACTGAGCTTCGGCTCGGGCCCTAGGGGGGAGCGTTGTGTTTCGGATGATATATCGCAGGGCTTGTCTATTCAATTGCGCAATTGCTGTCAGAACCTATATGTCTAAGTGGCGGAATTTGTTCGTTGGCGCACCTCTCAGGCTCGAATTGGGCATAGGCTTTCCTCTTGGAGTGATCTCGGATCGTCTTGATATTGACGAAACAGCCAATATCAAGCTTCTTAGCCCGGAACATGGACATATTGACGGTATTGGCAAAAGTTGGTGATGGTCCCTCGTATCGTTGGACCTGCTCGAACGTACAAAGTTTTGGAGTCGTTATTCAATTATTCAATTTGCGCATTGGTTTCTGCAAAGGCGCAAATCGGCTGATCGGTTGGTAACGGTCCAATCAGATTATTTTACACCTGCAAGAAGCTGACACCGGCCCGCTAGACTGCTAGACATTTTGTGCATTTACGTAAGGGAAGATAGCGGGTCAATCTCTCCGAGGGGCCCATTTATTCAGGGGTAATCCGTACCGTTACGGGTACCTATCTTAGGTACCTACGCCCGTCACGTCAGCCGCGTAGCCTCAAAGAAAACAATCTCGATCATCTATGACGTCGAAGTACATCCCAACTGCAAACAGCCACTCCACGGCAATGCTTGTCGACGCCATAATACATATAATTTTTGTATTGTGTCATCCTAAATAATGTTATGTAGCCAATATCGATAATTGAGGTGATCTACCACCTAATGACGTAGGTAATAGTAGCAAGTCATAGTTATGGAAAGACTCTTTCTTATAAAAGCTCAACCCAAGCTACCCTCTGGTAGGTTTCGGGGTTTGTAGTTTATACCTCTCATATAATTCCACAACGTCTCGCAAAGCTTCTAGCTCATCTATTAAAGAATTCGAACAATATTCTCTAACTATAACTACCTCTTATTACACATATTCAACATGTCTGGTTACTCCAACGTTGGTCAAAGCTCCGTCTATGAGGCCGGCGACCAAAGGAACCTGAAGGACTCAGAGATTCCAGGTCGTCCCCGATACGAAGAGGGTGTAGAGAATTCGCACCAGCCCAACGATTCCAGTGAGTTTTATCTTACCCCCTTATTCTAAAGGTTTGATTTATTTAAGAACATCGGCTAACATTGCTCGCAGAGGACGAGCGATCCATTGCCAACCGTCTAGCCAACGAAGAGGTATTTCCTCGCAATTACACCTAAGAGGAAAACTTGAGGATAGAGCTAATGGCCTGCAGCGCAAGTTAAACCGTGAAGAGCAAGAAGACCCAGAGACCAAGGCTTCCAAGCAGGACCCGACATTGCCTGTAAGTCAATTCAATTATCCTATGACAAAACTGCCCACTAACTCTCATTACAGGCCAAGCTACACGGCAATGAACCCTCTAAAGGCGCCAAGATCGATGCGGATTTACAAGCAGAGGAAGAGGAATACTTGAAACAGAAGGGCAAGAAATAAATCTTAATATCTCTATATTGTCTTATTGGATTTAAACTTGTTGGGAATCTGCTAGCATAGGTCTTGGCTTTATAGCGCTAATGAATGAAAAGAATATCTAAGCTTCTCTAATAATGAATATATCAGTAATCTCCGTAATAGCCATTCTGCGAGCCATATCCATACTGTTCACAATATCTCACAGCTTCGCCCCCAAGACTCGTCTCTTCTCTCTTTCCCGATCTTTCAAGAATCTTCTCAAGATCTTCCCGCTGGGGCTCTTGGGTATCGCATCGATGAATTCAACTCCGCCCTTCAACCACTTATATCTAGCCTTGTGCTCCTCAACCCACTTGCTAATTTCCAGGGCGACTTCATCGTCCGGCCTCGCTGCTGCTGAGGCGGATTTCACGACAAAAGCCTTCGGTACCTCCCCGGATCCTTCGTCCGGTATTGGGATGACTGTGCAATCATTGACGTCTGGATGACTGAGGAGATGAGCTTCCAGTTCTGCCGGAGCAACTTGATGGCCCTAAATTGATTTTGGTCAGTACTTTTAAGAGCATAACAAATACATAGAGAGTATCTCACCTTGACTTTGATCAACTCCTTCAACCGATCCACAACAGCAAAGTGCTCGTGCCCGGCCGGCGACTTCCGAACAACTGCCACATCTCCTGTCCGTATCCAGCGGCCGTCATCGTCCCACACATAAGCCTCAGATGTTGCCTTCTCGTTGTTCAGATAACCCAGCGTGACTGAGGGCGACTGGACCCAAAGTTCGCCACGCTTTTCGTACTCGGTGATCTCCTTGCCGTCTTCGCCTATTAACTTGGCCCGGGTAGCAGGCGCTAGAGATCCCGATGTTCCAATCATCACGTCGTTCTCACCCGTGCTAGTTATAACTGTACTTGTTTCTGTCATACCGTAGCCCTGGCCGACATTTAGAAACGGGAAGGCCTTCATCATATCCTCGTGTGTTTCTGCACCAAGCGGTGCGGCCCCTGTGTACACCATTCGGAGGCTGGATAAGTCGTATTTGGCACACAGCTCCATATTCCGTAACATTTGAATGACGATAGGAGGGACCTATAAAATATAGTTAGAATCTGTCCATAAGACTGAGTGCACACGACGCCTACAATATGCATAAAATTAATCTTGTATCTCTGGATAGTTTCCAGAAAGATCTTCAGCTCAAACTTCGGTAAGATGATTACAGCATCTCCCCGATACGTCCCCGCTTGTGCAACTACTACCAACCCATATATATGGCTTAGGGGTAAAAGACCAAGCTGGACGTGAGTTTCGATGCCTTTAGCCTTTCTACCTGGATCCTCATGCCATCGGATCTGCATCATATTCGCAATGACATTTCGGTGTGCAATCATCACGGCTTTCTATCATGGAGGTTTAGTAAATAATTCTATATGAAAAGGGAGGATAAACTGACGGGGAGACCTGAAGTGCCGCTAGAATAGCATAAATACGCAACTTGTCGAGCGCCTTGCCCCTTCGCCCAGACCAACGGCTCGACTTCTGCCAAAGATCGGCCTTCATTGATGAGGCCATCGAGACTCGTGAATGGAACTGGTTTAGATTCCCCGGGTATGTGCATAATGAATACTTTGTCGTCCGGAATACCACATGCTCTCGTGGCCTTCAATGCTGTATCTAGTAGTGGGATACACGTGATTAGAGCCTTGACACCAGCTGACTTGAGCTGATGTTCAAGCTCGGCTGCTGAATACATGGCATTTGCCGGCGTTACAATGCCCGAGAGGCGGTGTACCGCGAAGGTAGACATCATGTAGTCGATCTAAAACGTCAGTCAACGTTCGTGCCCCCATTACCATTATGGGCAGAGAATAGTTGAACGACCTACCGAGTTGAAAGAGAAAACGCCCACTACCTTATCCCAGGGCGTCTCTTCGTTCGGCCTCCAGCCCATACGCTTCGCTAGTGATCGCGCTAGGAGCTCGTAGCGCTCGGTCATCTCAGCGGCCGTGTATGTCTTCCCCGTAATCCCGCAGGTGTAGGGATTCCGCGACCTCGCGAGCGGTTGCCTCCCATACTTCTCGCTGCTCCAGAACTCATGAATTGGAATTGAGTCCGGGGGGTCTAAGAGTTTTTGTAAGCACTATTATTCTCTTATGAGGAAGAAGGGAGCTAATGACATACCAAAGGGCAACTGAGGCACCCAAGCCGGTGGAGTAAACACCATCTTGCTTCAAATTGCTCGTTGAAGTGTTGAAGTGTTGAAGTGTTGAAGTGTTGAACCACGCTTCACGTTTCACGTTTCAAGTTTCCACGTGTCGAAGAAGTTGAGTGAAGCTTGCGAGCTTAAGGGGACGTCGCGGGTATACAGTCTCTTGAAAACAAAGAGGCACTAGTTTGAGAGTGTTACAAAGGAAGGCTAACTTGAGAAAGGAATGTGTAACTAGCCTCGGCCAACATCGGCGGATTCGATCGACGGCTCGATACGACTTTAGATGCCGAAGAGGTGACCTTTAAAGTAAGGTCTATTTATTCCCGTTGAGCTAAACTCCGTGGTCCGTCCCCTTCCATGTTGACGACCCCACGTAATCAGGGTAGTACCCCCCCGAGTGGAGAGTTCCCGGTGAAATAGCCGGGGTAAGAGTACCTAACATACACCTCCGTCAGAGCGTCAGAGGTAGTGTATGGTAAAACCATAGGGGCCTCCACTGCCCCATCCAAGTCCCACATGTAACTCTCAGGCACATTTATATGACAAAATACGTAGTAACCCATCTCAGTGGCTTGTCAGCTTGTGCGAGGCCCGACATCTTCAAGAGGTACCTAATCCGATCTCCAGAGCCTTTTATCGTTCTACATGTATTTAAACATCCAATCGGTTTCCTGCCAATCATCAGGTCTCCCGTCCTGCACATATGTTAGGTACCTAGGTAGGTATTTAGTTAAATTCTGTGTAAAAGCCACGCATACCTAATGTATAATGCCTCTTTATTTTTTACATCGAATGCATATAGTGATTGTGATGCCCTGAGTTTACGAAGGGTTATTGTGTCGCATTTTTTTTCGCTGGGGACCCACATCACCTTCCTATTTGGCCCAAATAGGTCAACAAAAATTACTGGAAATGGAAGTGCCCTGGTCATTTTTACGTTTGTTGATTGGGTGCATCTTGGAATAAAGTGGGTTTTGGTCGAGATTTCGACGAAAGCTGCTTATGTAATCCTGACAATTGGGCTAGCCACAGCTGCAGCCACACAATCTGTCACAGCCACGTGACTAGCCACAGCGAGGGCTCTTAGCCTGGCGATTGGATTGGCTACAGCCACAGCTACGTAATCAGCCATAAGGCTCTTGGCCTGGCGTTGTTGCGGCTTTCGGCTGCAACAACGCTAATAAGGGGTCAACGGAGCTTGCCCCGCTTACGCAGCAGGCAACAGCGCCGCGCTTTTGCTTACGTAGTAATGCGTAAAAGAGGAAGGGATGCGAGGTCGAGGATTCGAACCGTGGCTAGGGGGGTTGTTGTCTGGCTTGTATGGCCGCCCGCCGAGCCGCGCGGGGGTCACGGGTGCGAGGCACGTGCGAAGCACGTGCCGAGCGCCCGTGACCCCCAGCGCGGCGAGGCAGGGCGGCCACATTAGGGATTTAACCAATCAAATCAATCGGTTTGCCTGACTTGTTCGTAAACTCAGGGCTATTGTGCAAGCCAATGGGGTTGCCTCCTGTGCCTTAAGTTTACTTAAGGATTTGTGTCAAGAGATTTTAATATGTATTATAAGTAATGCTTAAGTAAAGCTTAGCTTAGCTTCGTTAGCCTTGCATATCAGCCTCGCGTTAATTGGTCAAAGCTGAGCGCTAATTGGTCAGAGCTGAGCGCTAGTGGGTTGGAGCTAAGCGCTAGTGGGTTGGAGCTAAGCGCTAATTGGTCAGAGCTGAGCGCTAGTTAATTAAAGTTAAGCGCTAATAAAAAGGTTACTTTATATACATAAATGCTTATTTCTTTAATATCTCGACTAATTTGGGGCCGAATCACGTGCACCTTGGACCGTAATTTTTGTCATTTTTTAACTTAAATTTTAATATAAATTATATAAGATTTAAAGTAATATTCGTAAAGTTATTAAGATAAACGTTAAAAAAAAAAACTTTAAATACGTATCGTAAATATTACACGGGTAATAATAAATATATTACACGATTAATATTACTTTTATTTTATAAATATAATATTTAAATTTATTATTAAATTTTATAAATATAATATTTAAATTTATTATTAAATTTTTTTTATAATATAAATTTAAATTATAATTTATTAAAAAATTTATTTATAATTTATAAATATAAATATATAAATTTTATTTTAAAATATTTATAATAAATAAATATAATTTATATTTTAATAAAATATAATTTAATATATATTAAAATAAATTTATAAATATAATTAATTT